GCCCAGAGTTGACATAGAACTCTGGGTGGTGAACATGGAACCACTTACGGCCTCGGACATTTATGACTGCGTATGTTTCAAGCGCCACCGAGCTTCTGATCCGGATGAACTCCCACTCGCATTTTTCAAAGATGGGGGTAAAGTACTTAGTCAGCGTTTGTCTGCTCTGTTTGATTGCATGTAGGAAAAGGAGTCTGTCCCTGACAACTGTGGAGAGTCGATGATAGTGCCCATTTTCAAACGAGAGGCTCTTAGTGAGTGTGGTACTCACAGAGGTATCAGTTTGACCCCGGCCGTAACGAGACTGTTGGTGTCACTTGTGTTTCGTCGCCTTATGGTGGCTCGTAAAATACTGACTTGAGAGCAACAAGCGGGATTCCGGCCTTGCAGGGGTTGCCTTGACCAACTCTTCACACTCCGTCGTGTACTAAAACAACGCCATACCTATAAGCGACCCACAATTCTTATATTCCTGGATTTCAAAGGCGCATTCGACTTGATTGACCGGTCTGTTCTTGACACACTTGCCCACCAAGGAATACCTCGGAAGTTCGTGAACATAATAACATCTTTGTATTATCAGATTTCCAGACGTGTGAGAATATGCGGCGAGCTCTCCAAATGCTTCCGTACACAAAGCGGTGTTCGTTGGGGGTGCTCACTCTCTCCATTCCTTCATGATCGATGAAACCATGAGACTAACTCTGGAAGGTCTCCGAAATCCCGGTGTTCAAATAGCCTGTGACGGAAACTTTGTCGATCTGGTATATGCAAACGAGAAGGCGCAGGTGTTTTTGGATAAACTGACGAAAGCCATCCCGTCATTCGGTATACACTTTACACCCACAAAGTGTACGGTCATACTCCCGGATGTGCAGCCGCAAAAGCGCTGGAAGTTGTGGAGCGTTTTACGTTTCTCGGAAGTTGTATCAATTCTGATCGTAGTGCGATAGATGAGGTCACTGCACGGGTCTGTGAGGCCCGGGTCGTGTCTGCTGATTTCAGACACCTATGGCGTCAGCGTGGTGTATCTGAATCTCAAGGGACGTGGGTATCAAGCTTCAGTGTGGATTGTTTTGTTGTATGGCTGAGACTTGGCCTGTTCGGGCAGCGGAATTGAGATGTCTCCAGATGTTCGACAATCGTCTCAAAATCATAGATTGTGTGGATTGGTGTCGAGGAATCCGTAATGAGGCAGTTAGAAGGTGAGCTTTGGTTGTGCAGCGGTTACTTCCATGGAAGAATGTGTCCAGCACCATAGGTTGCGTTGGTTGGGACATGTGTTACCTATGCCCAACCATCATTTGCCGAAGAGAGTGCTGTTTTCCATGCCGTATTCAGAGTGGCGTAAACAGAGAGGTGGTCAACCCTTGACCTGGCAGGGTGGTATGAAGGAGACTACGAAACAGTTACTCGCCTTCCATGATGGGGACCGCGTGATCTCCAATGCGTCTGGTTGGAGACGCCGTAGGATATGACCGCCAACCGATGTCAATGCCGTTCTTGTTGTCAGTTTCAATTCAGATTGCCTGAATGTGTGTCTGGAGGTGTTGCCAACTCGGAATGGTTGCAGTAAGCTAGCACTAAGTTCCTTTCCCATACATAATATTCTTTTCCTCACAATAAAGCTTTCAAGCTAATCATGGTTGTACGATAGCGAAGCGTCGGTATTGAACACTGATGTCATTTTGTCGATGATGATGATGATGATGATGATGAGTGTAAAAAGCTGCTGCTCAGCCGCAGGACAACCATAATTTGTCTGAAAGCCTTTGAGAAAAAAGTGGATAGAGAAGGTGCCTATTGCCGGCCTACTACAATTACTCCGTGGTACCTGCACCTCCAGACATTCAGGCAATCTAGATAGAAACCGACAACAGGAACGCCACTGATACCCATTAGCAGCCATGTGTTGCATCATCTGCAGTCAGACACAGTGGAGATCACGTGAACTCCATCCTGGAAGGTGAGTCAAATAGACAGTACCCTGACTTTTCGTAGTGTCTTTCATACTCCTTTGCCCGGTCAAAAGTTGGTTACCTCTCTGCTTGGGCACGCTAAACAGTACTCTCTTCTACAAGCGATGGTTCGGCATGCAGAATATATGGCCTAGCTAACGCAGCTTCTGGCACTGGACAAAATCTTTGATTGAAGTACCCGTTGCACAACTAAGCACTTTTTCTCTAACTACCCCTTTGCGGTTTGGCAGACACTAGCCTACATGACCCGTGGTTCTGAAGTAATGGCTGTTGACCTCAAGGCGTCCCATTTCCGCTGCCTGAAGAGGTCACGTCTCACGGACGTACTGTAGTGTCCCTTAAGTTTTTGGGATACATCGCCTTGCCAGTGTATGAAATTAGCAAACGCGACGCGAATCATACAGATCCGTGTGTCTGCCTCATCTACCACACCACTGTACGATTCAATACGACTTCCGATATGTAGAAAATGCTCTACAACTTCGAGTTCTCTTCTTCGGATTGTGACGTGTTCAATAAAAGACCCTTGTTATTGAAAACCTCAATGCGTCTTACGTCAATGGATAATCTCTACCCCACATGGTCATCAGTGATTTCGAATTCAGATCTTCAGATTGATCTTAATCTAATACACCAATTGGAATCTGCTACTAGGGTAATTCCTGGTAGAGTGCTGTCAGAGTTGAGTGGTTCCAGGTCGAGGTCAGAAGGAAGACGGAATAGATGCTCGTAAGGTATGCTTTAATTGTCTAGTGGCGTTATTACATGAACTGAAAATATAGATTAGTAATTACCGGTTAGTGATATATGGAATGTATGGTTTACGTAGTCATCAAATCGATCCTGCAACATCTGTGACCCTTTGCTGACGCCATCGGCCTCGACTGTGGATGTTTTTATCTACTACGTGGATGAAACGTTCGATCGCGATGAGCCCCTTGTTTTCAGCTTTAACTGGTTGCGAATAACGTGGAGAAGATTGTTCTTCGAAACTAATGCGCACTCGCGTTCGGGTGGAAGTAAGTAACACTGGTTAGCCTCCCATCTTTAGTGGCTTCCAGTTTCAAGTGCGTGGTGTTTGAGTCCAGCGACGTGCAGCAAGTTTTGTGAGCTCTAAATGTACAGACGACCTCTGGTCCTCATGAATAACATTCCAGAATCCTAAAGGTGCTAACAGCTCTTCCAGCGCCTATTGGACAAAGGCCGATCGCCCGCAGGGTGGAAATCATTGTTGTGAAAGCCTTGTACAAATCATGGAACAAACATGATCCAGGCAACTTCAGACCGGTTTCTTCAACGTTTATGATCGTGGAGGTGATGGAACGCGTTGTCAGACATGACATTCACCGACATATTCATCGGATTCAAGCGTAGATCCGTGAGTAATATGGCTTTTCGAAAGGCAAGTAATGCATCATCAACCTACTGGCTGTTGTGGAATTCTGGACCGAGGACGCGACCATATAACAAGTGGACTTTTTATGTACACTCTGTAATACGCCGATGTTGGCCGCGCCAACAGTAGGAGCGGACAAATGTCAGTACGTTGTCCGCCGCCTATTAGAGGGCAATTAGTACCCGCTTCCCAACCACAACCCGCTCTGAAGCGTACGCGGTCTGGAGTTAAAGTTTTACTGTTCTCTGCGATATGGTTTAGAAACAGCATCTTCATTTTTGTCGAAGCAGTGATAATGTCTTCCTCCGAGGATGGACGGGTTAAACAAGGTCGACCCCGCTGCCCAACGGTCGACCGTGACCGCCGGCGCCTTATTCAATACGCTCGAAAAAGGTTTAAAGCCAAAGTGTCTGCTACTACTCAAAAAGCACATTATGTGCACAGCCACATTAAGAATCAAACAGTTATGCCCTAACCCCTTTGTCCTCGGGCCAGGCAGTCAAGTGGGTCAAACCATCGAGTCATCGGTTCTGGAAGGGGTCTCTTATGAAACCTTCCAAGAGCCGCCGTCCCTCGGTCAAGATGTTTGAGTCAGACGCTAAGGGAAGGATACCTGAGCAAAACCCATCCTTCTTCCACTACCTTGTTAGTTGGGCTTTTGAGTGAAAGTCTCTGGGTGAGGTATTTCAACCAAGTCCCTTTAACCGGGGAAGCATCGTCCACCCTTAAAGCTTTTCATCCCGTGACCGCCGGCGCCTTATTCAATACGCTCGAAAAAGGTTTAAAGCCAAAGTGTCTGCTACTACTCAAAAAGCACATTATGTGCACAGCCACATTAAGAATCAAACAGTTATGCCCTAACCCCTTTGTCCTCGGGCCAGGCAGTCAAGTGGGTCAAACCATCGAGTCATCGGTTCTGGAAGGGGTCTCTTATGAAACCTTCCAAGAGCCGCCGTCCCTCGGTCAAGATGTTTGAGTCAGAGGCTAAGGGAAGGATACCTGAGCAAAACCCATCCTTCTTCCACTACCTTGTTAGTTGGGCTTTTGAGTGAAAGTCTCTGGGTGAGGTATTTCAACCAAGTCCCTTTAACCGGGGAAGCATCGTCCACCCTTAAAGCTTTTCATCCGCTAACCCACCCAAGTCCTAATTCAGTTAGCTGCCAGTCACCCAACATCTATCTGCTAGGGACTATTTTCTCATTCGAGCCAATCTGATAATGATGCAAATCCCTTAAAACCAAATTCTTATACATCGTGTGACTTTTCTGACAGAAGAGAAGCGACAGCGAACTCCATGCGATCTGAGGGATATAGAGGCTTATGTATCGTAACATTACATAGTGTACTGTCCCCGTGTGTAGTAGTTCCGGTCAAGACTGGATGTTATGACTAGTCTTTTAGTTACATTCCCATTCTTTTGTGGTTATTGCTTGCTAATCCGCCATTTCAGCGCATGCTTTCTCGTTATTAGACGAGTAAAGCACAGATTACATTCCCATTTTTGTTTCGCGCTGTGTTCATCACCATCATCGACAGTAAGACATCAGTGTTCAACACCGGTGCTTCGCTGCCATACTATTACGATTTATCTGAAAGCCTTATTGTGAAGAAAAGAATAAAGGTGGATGGGGAAAGGACTTTATGCTAGCTTACTACAATCACTCAGTGTGATACTACATAATGAAAGTAAAACCATGCCATTTCATCATTGTGAACTTCGATTCACTGTTCAGTTGGAAAATCTTTGTTGATGCATTCAGTAACTAACCTGGAGTTTTGGTTATCTATGATACAACTACGGCTAAAACCATCTCAAAGCTGCGGCATATGTCATTGATTTTCGGTTTATCATTAACGTTTGTCAGACAGTGGTAGCCAGCTCGCATATACTCTGTTTGGATCGATATCACACATGCCAACGTCGTTCCATCTGCAATCTGATGGCAGATCTGAGTTTGTGGATACTGTCAAGCTTGCATTGACGAATTCGGAGAGTGGTCGCATGGGGGTTGATGTTCTAGATATCTTACAGGAGTGTAGTGCAACTTCCCAGTTCACAATCTCCTGATGACCACTCTGTATAAGCTTAACAGATGGTCCAATTGGTTAGAGCGCGGATTTACTAACCGGAAGGTCCGTGGTTCGAAACCGACCTCTGCCTCTCGACTTCCTCTGTCTAGACTTGGGCAACCTGACAGTATCCCAGCCCTCGTGCAACCTTCGGGTGGCATGGCAGTTGGGTACCGAAAGGGTGCTACAGCTGAACGATATTTTTTAACAGGTGGTTGTCACTTCCACATGACGCCTAATTGCCAACAGCAATCTACTCTCGACTTTCAGTGGGAGAATCAGCGTTCCGAACAGGAAGCCATGTGTATATGTGGATTGTCGGGGTCAATCTCGGAATAATCGGTTAGGTGATTGCCAGCGTCCGTCTGCGGTCATCAATATGAAATTGGCATACTAATCAGCTGTAGAATGCCCAATACCAATGACGCAAGAGTCGCCAGATCCCAAGCTTCTCTCTAAAACCCACCCTCGTACGCTAGCTGTAACGGCCTCGTTGGTACTCTCGGCAAACCCACTGCTGCAACCAGGACGCCTGACCGATCCTAACAGAAGGCCAACAAAGCCATCTTAATATGAACCGCGGTGACATCGTTACGTTATTATAAGAAAGTTACTGAAGTTACGCGGTATCTCCGGACCAAGAGCGCTTGTTGGAATGTAATCCATGCTAGATACTGGTCGTACATGATGTGAGGTGCGAGATGGCTCAGTGGTTAATGCGCGAATTTACCGACCGGAAGTTTTGTAGTTCGAACCCGACTTCTTCCTCTCGACTTCCCCTATCTAGGCTTTGGCAACCTGGCACTATCCCAGTTCTCGTGTTTCCTTTGGGTGGCATAGCAGCCAGGCATCGAAAGGCTGCTACAGCTGGACAATTATCTTTTTTTGATGGAGTAAGTTAACAAATTGCAGGACGGAACAAATCGCATGGAGGAGAATGCATGGTAATGAGTGGCACAGATGTCGCCTGCAGTATAGGGGCAGCACGCTGAAGACCAAAATTAGGTAGCAACGTGAAGTGGGCGAAATAAAAATAATCCAAAATATTATACAACCTCTTTCTTGTGGAAGGCGATGGACAGCTGAATCAAATCAGAGAAAGGCGGACGTACTATTCCGCTTTTTCAAGTGTTTGCAACTGCGGAAAGAGACCCAGGTTGTAATGTCACACCGTCAAGGATTGATCGACATAAAGGCCAAGCAAGTGCAAGAAGTCCCGAAGAGGCCTAGTGTGCACCGTCTACTCTCCTGGATAGCTTTTACGACAGGTATCACACCTAACGTTCCATTATATACTTACTGCGTACACGAGAGTAGGATCATGAAATGACCACGAAATATGAGCCTGTGATTCCCATCTGAATGGCTTTGAAGGTGATGTTGGAAGTTGTCTGAGGGGTGGGGTGATAGTTTCCCTTTCCTTCTTTCTCACGGACTCATACGTAGTTCACTCCTGACCAACCCACTCTGCCACGGGTAGTATTACTAAGTAATAGAATCGGAGGATATCAGCAGGGGCATGCAACCTGAACATTTAGAAAATATTCGATCCTTTCAATTGCACCCTACTGCTGTCCAATTTGAGGTCCTTCTTGATATTTCTGAAAGTTTCTACGCAGGCAGAACTGCTTGGACTGTTGACATCCAAGCGGTATGAATAGGTTACATCTGGGGCTAAAATAAAGGACTCGTACGAGCAGTTTTTGGCGTTTTTTTTACAATAAGAGCTGTTAACTTTTGGATTGGAGAACTTATTTCATACCATCACCACCATTATCTTTATCAGAAGCAGCAGCGGCAGCATCCTCATTGTTACCGGCACCAGCGCCATTATTACCATTTGTTGTATACTGCAAACGGTGATGCAACTTTTATGTCGGTCCTTGGCTCCCCGCTCCTTCCACTATGGTATAACGAAAGGCACGGTAGTTTGAGACAGCCATTTAATGAAACAAACGAAGATTATTAGAACTGCATTTATAAGATCAATACAGTGTCCTACAGGGTCGTGCTAGAACGTTCGTGAAGAGACGGGTTGCACCAGGCTATGGTGCGCGATCCTGCCTAGCTGAAATTCTAATTAATGGTGTTTGGTCCGTTTAGTCCGAAGTCCGCGTGTGACACATCCGTCTGATCGATGCGATATTCATTTACTCGAAAAATCGATCAACTGTAGCACCCTTTCGGTGCCAAACTGTCATGCCACCATACGGAAGCATGAGGTCTGGGATACTGCCAGGTTGCCTAATCCTAGACACGGGAAGTCGAGAGACACAGGTCATGTTCGTACCTCGGACCTTACCATCAGTAAATTCGTGCTCTAACCACTGAAGCTCTGGATAACATCGGCATCGTTATCATTATCTACTGGAACACTACATAAGAACATCGGTGCTTCACTGCCGTAAATCTGTCAGTTTATTTGTACAAAAGGGTTTTGTTTAAGAAACTCGATATGGTTGCCGGGTGGTGAAGCACCAGTATGCTTCTCTGATGTTATTAATGATGAGGATGGTGATCTAGAATGAGCTCTCCAGATAAGACATCACGGTTATTGCTTGCTAATCCGCCATTTCAGCGCATGCTTTCTCGTTATTAGACGAGTAAAGCACAGATTACATTCCCATTTTTGTTTCGCGCTGTGTTCATCACCATCATCGACAGTAAGACATCAGTGTTCAACACCGGTGCTTCGCTGCCATACTATTACGATTTATCTGAAAGCCTTATTGTGAAGAAAAGAATAAAGGTGGATGGGGAAAGGACTTTATGCTAGCTTACTACAATCACTCAGTGTGATACTACATAATGAAAGTAAAACCATGCCATTTCATCATTGTGAACTTCGATTCACTGTTCAGTTGGAAAATCTTTGTTGATGCATTCAGTAACTAACCTGGAGTTTTGGTTATCTATGATACAACTACGGCTAAAACCATCTCAAAGCTGCGGCATATGTCATTGATTTTCGGTTTATCATTAACGTTTGTCCGACAGTGGTAGCCAGCTCGCATATACTCTGTTTGGATCGATATCACACATGCCAACGTCGTTCCATCTGCAATCTGATGGCAGATCTGAGTTTGTGGATACTGTCAAGCTTGCATTGACGAATTCGGAGAGTGGTCGCATGGGGGTTGATGTTCTAGATATCTTACAGGAGTGTAGTGCAACTTCCCAGTTCACAATCTCCTGATGACCACTCTGTATAAGCTTAACAGATGGTCCAATTGGTTAGAGCGCGGATTTACTAACCGGAAGGTCCGTGGTTCGAAACCGACCTCTGCCTCTCGACTTCCTCTGTCTAGACTTGGGCAACCTGACAGTATCCCAGCCCTCGTGCAACCTTCGGGTGGCATGGCAGTTGGGTACCGAAAGGGTGCTACAGCTGAACGATATTTTTTAACAGGTGGTTGTCACTTCCACATGACGCCTAATTGCCAACAGCAATCTACTCTCGACTTTCAGTGGGAGAATCAGCGTTCCGAACAGGAAGCCATGTGTATATGTGGATTGTCGGGGTCAATCTCGGAATAATCGGTTAGGTGATTGCCAGCGTCCGTCTGCGGTCATCAATATGAAATTGGCATACTAATCAGCTGTAGAATGCCCAATACCAATGACGCAAGAGTCGCCAGATCCCAAGCTTCTCTCTAAAACCCACCCTCGTACGCTAGCTGTAACGGCCTCGTTGGTACTCTCGGCAAACCCACTGCTGCAACCAGGACGCCTGACCGATCCTAACAGAAGGCCAACAAAGCCATCTTAATATGAACCGCGGTGACATCGTTACGTTATTATAAGAAAGTTACTGAAGTTACGCGGTATCTCCGGACCAAGAGCGCTTGTTGGAATGTAATCCATGCTAGATACTGGTCGTACATGATGTGAGGTGCGAGATGGCTCAGTGGTTAATGCGCGAATTTACCGACCGGAAGTTTTGTAGTTCGAACCCGACTTCTTCCTCTCGACTTCCCCTATCTAGGCTTTGGCAACCTGGCACTATCCCAGTTCTCGTGTTTCCTTTGGGTGGCATAGCAGCCAGGCATCGAAAGGCTGCTACAGCTGGACAATTATCTTTTTTTGATGGAATAAGTTAACAAATTGCAGGACGGAACAAATCGCATGGAGGAGAATGCATGGTAATGAGTGGCACAGATGTCGCCTGCAGTATAGGGGCAGCACGCTGAAGACCAAAATTAGGTAGCAACGTGAAGTGGGCGAAATAAAAATAATCCAAAATATTATACAACCTCTTTCTTGTGGAAGGCGATGGACAGCTGAATCAAATCAGAGAAAGGCGGACGTACTATTCCGCTTTTTCAAGTGTTTGCAACTGCGGAAAGAGACCCAGGTTGTAATGTCACACCGTCAAGGATTGATCGACATAAAGGCCAAGCAAGTGCAAGAAGTCCCGAAGAGGCCTAGTGTGCACCGTCTACTCTCCTGGATAGCTTTTACGACAGGTATCACACCTAACGTTCCATTATATACTTACTGCGTACACGAGAGTAGGATCATGAAATGACCACGAAATATGAGCCTGTGATTCCCATCTGAATGGCTTTGAAGGTGATGTTGGAAGTTGTCTGAGGGGTGGGGTGATAGTTTCCCTTTCCTTCTTTCTCACGGACTCATACGTAGTTCACTCCTGACCAACCCACTCTGCCACGGGTAGTATTACTAAGTAATAGAATCGGAGGATATCAGCAGGGGCATGCAACCTGAACATTTAGAAAATATTCGATCCTTTCAATTGCACCCTACTGCTGTCCAATTTGAGGTCCTTCTTGATATTTCTGAAAGTTTCTACGCAGGCAGAACTGCTTGGACTGTTGACATCCAAGCGGTATGAATAGGTTACATCTGGGGCTAAAATAAAGGACTCGTACGAGCAGTTTTTGGCGTTTTTTTTACAATAAGAGCTGTTAACTTTTGGATTGGAGAACTTATTTCATACCATCACCACCATTATCTTTATCAGAAGCAGCAGCGGCAGCATCCTCATTGTTACCGGCACCAGCGCCATTATTACCATTTGTTGTATACTGCAAACGGTGATGCAACTTTTATGTCGGTCCTTGGCTCCCCGCTCCTTCCACTATGGTATAACGAAAGGCACGGTAGTTTGAGACAGCCATTTAATGAAACAAACGAAGATTATTAGAACTGCATTTATAAGATCAATACAGTGTCCTACAGGGTCGTGCTAGAACGTTCGTGAAGAGACGGGTTGCACCAGGCTATGGTGCGCGATCCTGCCTAGCTGAAATTCTAATTAATGGTGTTTGGTCCGTTTAGTCCGAAGTCCGCGTGTGACACATCCGTCTGATCGATGCGATATTCATTTACTCGAAAAATCGATCAACTGTAGCACCCTTTCGGTGCCAAACTGTCATGCCACCATACGGAAGCATGAGGTCTGGGATACTGCCAGGTTGCCTAATCCTAGACACGGGAAGTCGAGAGACACAGGTCATGTTCGTACCTCTTACCATCCCATCAGTAAATTCGTGCTCTAACCACTGAAGCTCTGGATAACATCGGCATCGTTATCATTATCTACTGGAACACTACATCATCGGTGCTGTGCTTCACTGCCATAAATCTGTCAGTTTATTTGTACAAAAGGGTTTTGTTTAAGAAACTCGATATGGTTGCCGGGTGGTGAAGCACCAGTATGCTTCTCTGATGTTATTAATGATGAGGATGGTGATCTAGAATGAGCTCTCCAGATAAGACATCACCAGCTTACTCTTTACAGGTTTTTAGCTGTCTGTTTTTGTGGTTTCCTTTTATATTTCGAATCTTGATGCTTTCGTCACCGTCTTGTCAGGTTTTCGCCGTCCTCCTTAGGTGCTTAATTTAATAAAGCCCGGTGCCGAATTTGACCAACATGGTTATTAGCCAGGGCACTTTCCGACCGTTGATTAGTATGACGGATTTACTTGTTTTTACGTCCGTCTGTGAGGGAAGGCTTCTGTTCTTTCTAGTGTCCCGGTGGAAGCTCTCAATTCAAGAATCTTGACGTATCCATGCTAGCACCGTCGATGTTCACTTTGTGGCAGTTACTCTTGGAGAGCAATGACTTGGCTCTGAGAATACTTCAAATGGCTATTGCTTGCTGGGCGCCATTGGCAGCATGTTTTGAACCTAATTACGGAGTAAGATGGAGATTAGCTTTGGGATGACGTCCTTCGTGCCACAGAGCTATCGTTCGAGTTCGCTTCTCTATCCCTTGCATATTCCACAGGACGGGCGGGTCCTGTGTCTGTTGATGATCGCCACATCGATTTTACGAGCATGGTACTGAACAACACTCCAGTTTCTCATGTCGCGGTGATGCCCGCCATACCATGATGTGATCAGCGGATGCTTATGGCATCCGGTCAAAAATCTTTCACCCCCTGCTGGCACCACCAACCTAGCCCCTTAATCCCTCGTGCAACGGTCGTCACATCTAGGTGAGGATGGGTGTTCTTGACGATGGGTTTGTTTTCTGTACATGGCCTAAAGACAGTTGAAGTCGATCCACATTCAGCAAACTCTGGCAGCAAACTCTTTACAATCTCCTTCATTTCCCAGTTATTGCCTTCATAATTTTGGCCCACTCCACTTTCAGTCTTCCCATCATGGAGGGTAGCGTTATTCGCGCTCCACAGGACTCCCAAGTCTGTTTCCAGGTACAATGGAGGATCAAAAGACGACAAGTTGTGACTCCATCTACCGTTGTGTGCATTCTGGATGGTAGGGGTTCAGCTCCACTTTCGATATGTGCTCCCGGTTTTGGCTGGGCTACCGCACTGTTGCCAGATGAGTCTATGGCTGCTGCCGGGTAAACTTATTGTTACAAACTTACAGATTGGTCATTGTTTTCAGCTGCGACTTGTTCAGATTCGAACCCTGCCGACATCACATCGTAATGAAGGACTTGTGTGCTGAATGTGGAGCAAACCTAAGGAGGTTAGTCAGTTGATTTGTTTAGCCATTTTTTGGCGTTCAGAGAGGGTGGGCTTTCGGGAGAACGCATAGAAGATGCAAGCGCCAAGATTCCCATGGTTCATGCCGTCCCGGATTTGCACGTTAGCGAGAGCGTAAGTTGTTCTGCCCATTCGGGCTATTTAGTCTTTTTACTTCTGTGCTTTCCACCAGAAACGTCGTAGCACTAATGACATCAATTTCGTGTGATCTTTAACTCTGAGAACCTGCACGTGGTTTAGTAATTTCTGGAAAGTGTGTGTTTATGCTTCTTCTATGCGATCTTTAATGCATGCTGCGGCCGGTAATGCGACCCCCATGTCTGTCGTTGGCCTGCCGTTCCCCCACACTACGGTATATCGAAGGGTCCGTCATGGGGACAAGCAGAAATTATTACAAATGTACTTATAGGGTTATCACAGAATGCTCCACTAAACCATACTACGATCTACATGGGGGGACGAGAACCCTCAAGCCGTCAGTGCTCGATCCCGATTAGCTGACATTCTGCCAATCCGGGTGTGCCTTCGTTCGCCCGTAACTGGCTCGTAGCACATCTGTCCAAACGATGAGATGTTCGGCCAATTAGAGCGGCCCGCCTCCTAAAATCTGTCACCTCACACTATCTGAATTTGCTTAGTGCTTTCTAATCCATTTCAGGTTGTGTTCCAACTTCTCGCCAAGCTAGATGGCCTACGTTAGGTAGATTGTCTCCATTGACACACTGGCAGAGTGCGTGGCTTGTATCCATTGTCTGCCCATAATCTTCTTGATGTTTGGCTCTGGATGACTGACAACCGGGCAGATATCCGTACGGTTCCATTTATTGCGAACTACTGAAACTGCGCCATCAGTAGCATCGCGACTGCATCCTGGCCCGTAGTCTACAGTAGGTGACATATGCCTCTGCTGTCCTAATCGCTGTAAAGCTCATGTAGTAAGTGTCATTCTGATATCCTGTGAATGTTCGGTTTTGCCAGAGTCCGACTATCTTCAAGGACTAGTTCCCATATCTTATTTTAACCGATATGGGACAACTACAAACCACTGGTGTTGTGATTTGCTGAACGGTTGTGCAACTCTGTATCGGTCCCTTGGTGCTCCGCCCCATCTGTCCAAACGATGAGATGTTCGGCCAATTAGAGCGGCCCGCCTCCTAAAATCTGTCACCTCACACTATCTGAATTTGCTTAGTGCTTTCTAATCCATTTCAGGTTGTGTTCCAACTTCTCGCCAAGCTAGATGGCCTACGTTAGGTAGATTGTCTCCATTGACACACTGGCAGAGTGCGTGGCTTGTATCCATTGTCTGCCCATAATCTTCTTGATGTTTGGCTCTGGATGACTGACAACCGGGCAGATATCCGTACGGTTCCATTTATTGCGAACTACTGAAACTGCGCCATCAGTAGCATCGCGACTGCATCCTGGCCCGTAGTCTACAGTAGGTGACATATGCCTCTGCTGTCCTAATCGCTGTAAAGCTCATGTAGTAAGTGTCATTCTGATATCCTGTGAATGTTCGGTTTTGCCAGAGTCCGACTATCTTCAAGGACTAGTTCCCATATCTTATTTTAACCGATATGGGACAACTACAAACCACTGGTGTTGTGATTTGCTGAACGGTTGTGCAACTCTGTATCGGTCCCTTGGCTTCCTGCTCCGCCCCCTATGGTACATCAAAAGGCACGGTAGTTCTAGACAGCTCTTTATGTGGACAAAGCAAAATTATTACAACTGTATTCATAGGGTAGTCACAGAGTGTTCCACAAGGTCATGCCAGAATCTCCGTGAGGGGGCGAGAAGCGTCGAGTCAAAGATGCTCGGCTCGGATTGGCTGGCATTCTGACCAATCAGAGTATGCCTTCGTTTGGTCCACGTCCTGCACGTGACACATGCGTCCAAATAATGTGATGTTCGGTTGTCCTCCGGACAACTGGATAGTTGTTTACTCCTTGTTCGGATTCATCGCCACCGCACATCACACGGCTCTTCTACCCCCACTGTGGCGCATTACGTGAATTTGAAAAGCTGTCTTGTTTTGAGATCGCCGACCATTGATGAGTCTCTATCAGCTATCGTTTGCGTAGTATTTGTATTTCGTCTTGCAAGGGCGAAGTGGCTTAGTAGTTAGAGCTCGTATTCACTGACCAGAAGGCCCGTGGTTTGAACCCGACCTCCGCCTCTCGACTCTCCCTGCCTAGGCTTGGACAACCTGACAGTATCCCAGTCCTTGTGCTTCCTTCGGGTGGCAGCTAGGCACCGAAAGGGTGTTACAGCTGAACGATTATTTTTCTTGCAAGGCTGTGCGGCATTTATGATGCATTCGCGCACTCGTCATTATTTTGTAATCGCCGTGGTTTGAAGTTTGTTTCATCTACTTGTTTCATCTACTTTCTACAGGTCGCTGCAGAACTCGCCTTACAAGACGAACAAAGTTTGTTGGCTGCCCGTAAACTGGTACTGCTTGTCGACCTGGATGAGACTGTGTTACACACGACAAATGACCCCCAGGCCTACCGATACAAGGTATGTTTGTTACTGGTAGCTCACTTGTCAGGGCTCTCACTTTTGTGATGCTGTGATAATGCGTTCGGATTGAGTGGATCAGCGGCGTAGCCCTACAAGCTGTCTTGCGGCTCGCAAGGAGACTCGGACAAAAGCGATGAATTAGTCAGGTACTCAGGTTTCTTTAGCATGTGTATGTACTTTTAGAATCTGGGTAGACACGTGATTTCCGATAACCAAGTAGAGTGATGAACACGATACAAGACATCCGACGATTCATGAGTGCTCTAGTTGGAGAAAGAAAAGTTAATCGATCGGGTCCTTATGCCCACGTGTCTTAGTTTGATCATACCCCCCAGACCCATGAGGAAGTCAGCGCCTCCATAATCATGCAAACGTCCTTTCTTTCGTAGGAGGAAACGGTGCTGAATATACCCGAAGATCAAGTCTGGTATTTACCAGCTTCTCGTCTAAATTGTGCTCCTCCGCGGTTGCGAAACATGGCTGTTAAGGGAGCATGCAAAACGTACTATCACTGTTGTCCGCCATAGATACTCATCAGTCTCTGTTGTGATTACATCATCGATTGAGTATGGCGTCAAATTTTCTTCAGTTCAAAATATCATCACTCGTGGTCATATAGAAGTTATGCATTTACTAGCGGTGTGTTACTTTCGGTGGCGAGAATCAGAGCTTGGTCCAGCATCAGCCTGAAGTCTAACCGACACTATGCACGTCAATCTCTGAGCTGTCCTACTGTAATGTTTAATTATCTGTTACTTTCAGAATGTCAGTCGCTATTGTCTGCCCGGTTCCCCTCTGGTCTACCACACCAGTTTTCGTCCGCACTTGAAGACTGTGCTGGATCGCTTGTCCAAGTACTACCAAATGCATATCTGCACTTTCGGGAATCGCATGTACGCACATCAACTGGCCGGCATGATTGATCCGAAACGCCGCTATTTTGCCCATCGAATCCTGTCTCGCGATGAGTGTTTCAATCCCGTCACCAAATCCGCAAATCTGAAGTAGGTTAATTCTTGTGTTCACGTGTTTTCGTGATGAGATTTTTTTCGGTCTCAGCACTTCCGAGCCGATTTCATGCTGGTTGATCAAGGTCCTCACAGTAATGCACTAAACATAAGGTTGCTGAAAACTCTTCGACAGCATACGACCGGTTTCGCCCTTCCACTTTGGGCTCATCAGGTAGGCGAAGTCCCGAGTTTCCGTCAACCTTATGTTCTACTTGAAACCAAATTGCACGAAATAGGCGAGTACACACTCATTTACAAGCAAATTTGGTTTTGCCAGAGACTCGCCTGGAACCCAGCTGGATCTATCGGTTTTGATGTTTCCAGGCAACCGAATGTGTTGCACCAGGCCGCCCCATGTTTCAGTCGCTACGATATTCAAGATATCGGGATACATAATGAGCTGGGTTCCAGGTGAGTCTCTCGCAAAACCGAATTTGTTTGCAAATGAGTGTATCCCGCTAGTTCCCATTTTATTCAGGATGTATGAAACGTTTTCGGTACCGTGACTTGATATACTGATTACCTGGGCAGGTACTGCAGATTTTTTCGCACAATCTATATTGTCGATTGGTCCCGATTTGTCATCTGAGCCACACCACACTGTTCGTGAAACATACTGATTTGCGAAACCTCTGTTGATGGTTACTTGCGAACCGTGATCCACTAAATGTGTCCAGCACCAGAAGCTGTGTTGGTTGGGACATGTGTTACGTATGCCGAACCATCGTTTGCCGAAGAGAGTGCTGTTTTCCATGCCCAATTCAGAGTGGTGTGAATAGAGAGGTGGCCAACCCTTGACTTGGCAGCGGAGTATGAAGGAGATCACGAAACGGTTGGGTGCTGTCGGTGCTACTCGCCTTCCATGATGAGGACCGCGTGATCCTCACTGTGCCTGGTTGGAGACACTACAAGATACGGCTGCCAACCGATGTCAGTGGCGTTCTTGTTGTCAGTTTCTATCCAGATCGCGTGAGTGAATGTCTGGAGGTGTAGGCACCTCGGAATGGTTGTGTAAAGCTAGCACTAAGGCCCTTCCCCGTCCACCTTTACTCTTTTCTTTACAATAAAGCTTTCAAATAGATCATGTTGTACGGCAGTGCTGCATGCTGTCGATGTTGTTGTTGTTGTGATCCACTAAAGCGACACTTCGAATTCCGACTGCCGTCTACACTGGCTATCAGAATCGTTTGCATAAATCGAAGGTTAGATCTCCGAATGCGTGTCTGTGCCACTGCGGAGAGGAGTTCTTCTTCTACTTGGTTCGAACCCGATTTCTGCCTCTCGACTTTCCCTGTCTAGGCTTGGGCAACCTGACAGTATCCCAGCCCTCGTGCTTTCTTTGACTGGCATCGCACCCAGGTTCCGAACGATTCACTTAATTTTCTTTACCTTCTATTTGAAATGATGACCTGTTCAGTGAAGCAACTCTTTGTAACTCTTCCATAGCCCTCCGTGTCTTGGTTCCATTGATTTTGACTACTAACGAGGTTTAAAAAAATATATAGTTGGTTCTTCCAACACACCTTCCAAACATCCTTTAGTGAATCAGTTTGTAGAGACTTTCGTATTTGGGAGTTGAGTGAATGGGCTATAAAATGGACAGCGTGCTTCGTTAAGACTACTAGATACGCGTGCTGCTGAAAGTTGAAATTACCGCAATTTCAGGATGAATAACCTTTACTTCCTGCCGGCAAATTTTCTAACACATTTGCAGATGGCCATTGAACACCTGTAAGTAAACTCAAGTTGGTAGCTGTAAAAACACACTTACTTGCAGTACAGTAGTTCAAGCTGCCATAATTTCGTACACCGATGATTTGGAAGAGTGGGGTAGATGGCTGCGCATTGGAGGCGTGTAAATACAGGGCTATCAGTGAACTTGGAGTGATTGGAAGAAGAGTTGTGCATTAAAGGCAATAGCTTGGATGCTTGAGCACCCCTGAGAGCCCCTCTCCGCCATATCTGGCAATATCCAGCCATTGATGTGTCCCGTCTCCGGACCCCCATCCAGAGAGACGGCAGTGACCTTTTTTTTCCTTTTTGACCAGCGCAGCTGAGTTTGCTGGTAATGACCCCTCCTGACTCGTTCCCACCCTTCACGTGGCTGTGCGGAAAGATCCCTTGGTAGAAGTCGGTCAACTGGCATACGCAGCACGTGGCCAGGCCAGCTCAACCTATCGATTGTGATCAGTTAATCTATCTTGGGCGAGTTATCCCTTCCGAATGCCTTTCGGCGCAGTTCAGCATTACTGATCCGGTGTTCCCACCAGACTCGGGCAATGCTCCGAAGGTATCGATGGTCAAACGCTGAAGGTCTTTTGACGTCCTTTGTGCGCAGCGGCCAGGTTTCTGACCCGTATAATAATATGGAGCGCGCCGCAACATTGTAAACTCGACCCTTGACGGATAAGCTGATGTCACGCCTGCGCCACAGGTGACACGGGTTCACAAAAGCTGATCTGACCTTCCTAATCCGGATGAAAATATTATCTTTCGCGAGACCACCAGGACTGATACAGCTGCCCAAGTAGACAAACTTGTCTACTACCTCAATCGGTTCATCCGTAAGCATGAGGTTAGGGTTCGATCCCACCGTGTCGTGGAACAACATCTTACGCTTTGCAGGTTTGAGGCGCATGCCGAACCGTGAGGCGGAATTATTTAGATTATTTAATATTGTTTGAATTACCACGGTGTCAGATCCAAGAAGAGCCACGCCTTTTGCTTACTCGATATCTGTGAGCGAACGCCAAGGGAGTACTTCGACACCATAGGCATTGGGGGCTGATGGTGAGTCTTCTATGATCGTACCAATGACGAGGTTGAAGAGGAAAGGTGAAAGAGGATAGCCATGCCTGACGCCACTTGATGTGGTGAACTCAGACTGGAGCTACCCGTAGACCTGCATATGTGCAAGGGAGTACAGCGCCTTAACGGGGGGGGGGGGAATAACTTTGCTCCACAAACACTGCCATAGGGCATGACGGTCCACAAAATCAGAGGCAGCTTTCAAGTCAAGGAAGGTAACCATTGTTGGGCGCTGGTAACATTGTCAGAGTACCAGGATCTGTCGAAGGGTGACAATATGATAGAGGCAGGACGGTTCACTATGTCAGGGCTCCTTGCTCGACGAAGGAGCCTGATAGCTATCGGCAGAAACTATCCTTCTCAGAGTCAGAATTGCAATTCGTTGAGGAATAAGCCGACGCTGCAAACGGGCACCGGTTTTTGTGTCGAGTGAGTAATCATAGCCGTTCCATCTTTGTCACGATCCACATGAAGGAACGGGACGCACAGAAATAAACATCTCACCAATGGCATATCTGTTACCTGTTTCGTCTGCCGCTCAGAGTTCTTTTCGCCCAACCCTGTGCTGAGTGGAACCAATTAAGAGCTGGACAGTGTATGACTTGGCAACGAAGTATCAAAACACTAACTGACGAACTGAGTCAGGTTGACAGCTGCCGCCTCCTTGGGTGGGGACTTAACTCGCCATTCGTTAATGACACCGGCAGAAATGCCAGTTAGTGGCCATCGTGCATCAATGCTATCACTTTGATTTCGTAGCTACCCAATTCCGGAACTAACTGAACATGCTATCGCTTCCAGGGCTTGGCCATGCCTCCCGCATTCCTACTTTCTGGTGATCGAAACTGTATCAGCTGGGACTAATGTATTCATGACAATTGGTTATAGCTGGTGAATTGGTTGACTGATTTATGTCCGTCGGTCAGAATAAAATCGTGCGTTTTCGGGAAATTCGAGCTCTTTGGGGCACAAATAAGGTTGCAGTACGTGAGAGTAAGTGAAAAAAAACGGAGATTTATGAGTTGTTCCTTCTTCTCCATCCCCAGAACACCGTTCCACAAAATCTTTGAAGGGATATTACGCATTTTCCCCTTACTGATCGGCTTGCGCCCCCGGTTTACTGAGGTCATGCGGCTGCCATGGTGAGTGTTTCGACTTATGAATCAGGCTACTTGTGAGTAGTGAGTAGTTTGGAAACCTCTCCCCTAGAAGACCATCGCCGGTATTTACTGACGCGCATTCGGCTGGCTTACCTAGGTTTTAGACGGTTGATAAAGAATGTCGTGCCACTATATTGTACTGCGCTTCTGATGGATTCTCCCATTTCCTGTTTGTATTAGGGCCTTATTTCCCCGAGGACTCAACCTGGTTTGCATCATCGACGACCGAGGTGAGGTGTGGGAATGGTCCCCTCACTTGATTCAAGTCAAACCCTATCGGTGAGTTATGAAAGTTCGCTGTTGGGATTTATGTGTGTCTGTGTGCCTACATCGCGTTGGTTACTTAACATGCGTCCTAGTTGCTTGGCAACGTGTTTCATTCTCTTCATCCATTCTACTCAGTCTTGCTCAGGACTGTCTGGATACCTCAACTCACGGTTTTGTTATCCATGCGACTAGATTCATGATGTTACTCTGTTCACCTCGTTTCCTAGATTTGTTTCATATTGTCCTCTTTTCGAAATCTTTACTCATTATAATATCATGTAATCAAGTTCATCCATGAATCACCATTCTCGAGTGCAATGCGCTGCTTAAAAGTTGAGACATTCCATCCGACGAAAATTCGCTTTGAAAACGCGAGAGCTTTTTATTTTGTACTTTTCTTTACTTCACTCATAGCTTACAGAAAAAGGGTATCACCATGCGTGAAATTCGCACCAACCAAGTGGACACGCTTCCACAATCACGTGCTAACTCCGGTCTTAGAAAGTTGGACATTAGAAGAAGGCCGAAAGAGCACGGGTTGTCGGGAATGCCGGAGTGCTGGGGGATAAGAAGGAATGGGTGAAGTAATCGGTACGACTACCTGTTAGTAGTGAGCGTAAGGACACAGGCGAGTCGGGAGTTCGCAGAGAGACACAGTTGGTGTAAGCTGTAAACATTTGTCAAAGCGAAGTGCACTCATCCGCAAACAAATTTGATTCTGCAGGAGGCTCACCGGGAACCCAACTAAATCTCTCGTTTTTCAAGTTTGCAAATGAGTGTATTTCGCCAATTTCATGTAATTCGGGTTCAGGTAGAACATAAGGTTGACGGGGACTCGTGGACTGCGCCTACCTGAGCGCTCCAAGAAGGGCAAAATCGATGGTGGGCTGTCGAAGAATTTTCAGCAACCTTATGGGTAGTGTATCACGTTTAAACATTTGTTTTAGTTGTAGTGACAAGGAAGGGAAGAGTTTCGGTATTCAAGCAACGGGGAATAGGTTAGAGACGTGGAATCGATGAAGCTAACGCTTTTTCTCTGAAGAGGTAGGTTGAAGAGGGGCTGGACGTGTTAAGAATGTTCCAAGGTAGGATGAATTTGAGTTTAGTGGGATATTGGAAGTTTGAGAGGGTAGTGAACTAATTGCAGACACGGACACACCTGTAGAAATCTGCTTGACTTGAGCTGATCAAGAAAAGTAAACGAGATGGATTGTTGACGGCGGATGCATTCTGGGTCGGTGACTTAGCGTTCCGAGGAAGTGTGGCACAGTCTGAGTGAATTCGGGGGGATTCAGAGGGGCTAACTTTCTGTCTTTGCAAACTCCAGTTATTGATGATCCCTCGTGTCTGATGATCGTCCGAAGATAAGAAGAATATTGGGAGCGATGGCACAACGAATGCTAGAACGTGACAAATTCAGCGAACGCGTGAATGCTGGAGAAAAACACAGAAATAGCGAGTTGGTGTCCAGTAAACTGGGTTTGTATTGACACTGAAAGCTGCGGGAAGGGCCCTCTCTAAACACCTTTCAGTTGAAAGCCTGAAAGTTGGTTGTATGTAAAATGGACAGACAGACTCCCTGTGGCGACTGTTTGATCAGGAAAGATTTCTGGACTGTAGACAAAATGATGGTGTTCGGATTTAGGCAATCCTCTGTGAGACTCGAGCGGGACCCATGCTTCGGAATAGTTAGTTGTCGGTTCATTCCAGTCAATGTGGGACAATCCCCGTAGAAAGGGACAGACGAAAACACCGTGGAAGCCAATTCCTGACCAGAGAGCATGGAGGTATCGAGCGGAAGAAAATATTGACGCCTCAACCCGAAGTGATAAAATTTTTGGAGTGAACGGTAAAGGCGTACATCTGTAGTAACGGCATTTTCCTCAGCGTAGTTCTCGGTCTGAGCCTCCCGCGCTAGCGTTCACGTCAAAACAACCACCAAAGGTTCACAAGGTCTTTTAATGCCCAAAACGAAGTCAAGGACTATTGTACAGCGCTTCGTATATATAGCGTAGGTGGTTGTAACCTGAAACTTCTGACGCGTTCTGGATGCGCCATTGGCAACCGGCATTCGGCCAATATTGGGTCATGATTGGCTTTTGGGTCCAGATTCTCGACCAATCAGATCTCGTCTTGATGCCGGACCGGCAAGCGTCCCAAATTCTTGGCCAGTCTCGTGCGGGTTAGACTTATCGGCCGTAGCAGCGCCTGAAGACGTGCGGTATAGCGGGACTTCCGGTCAGTAAATTCGCGCTCCAACCACTTGAGCCATCTCGCCATGAAAGTGATCAAGATGTGACTCGTGTGATGGTTTAAGAATAAACGGCGTGGGATTGGTCGGATAGGTCGTGAAGAAGACGAAGTCTCGGGTTTCTGGGTTGTCATGATTACAACATTTACACATCCAAGAATGCAAAGTTCAGCGAAAAAGTCGCCCGGGGTGGGGGTTGTACACACAATCGACATTTATCAGGTAAAAGAGTTCGTGTGCGTTATTACCCCAAGGCCAAAGAAAACCGTTGTAACTGTGGATAAAAGATAACATCTCAGTTAAAGAACTTGAAATTAGATATCTGGGCAACCGATGGTAATGTAGCCCCCCCTCTAAATAGAAGTCGGTTGAGTCGAACGACTTGGGTCAACTCACTCCATCTGGAGGTTCGCATTTACGCCAGAAACAAGACCAAAAGCGCAAAAATAATGGCTGAGTTAGCACTCTTCTGTAGGCCACGTGCTGCCAAATGACACCGAGTGCAAGGACAACGAGTATTTATGGTGTGGTGTATTCTCTTGGTTGTTTATTGTGGTGACTGGCAAGCGTTCAGCTGTAGCACCCTTCCGGTGCCTAGCTGCCATGCCACCCGAAGGAAGCACGAGGGCTGGGATACTGTCAGGTTGCCCAAGCCTAGACAGGGGAAGTCGAGTGGCGGAGGTCGGATTCGAACCACGATCAGTAAATTCGGATAACAACAGCCAATCTGAGATAACCACGATTGCTTATACGATGAAACCGATCTGGGAGGAGCGAAAGTTGGGATAGACAATGTGGTCATTTGCGATTGGTGTCTACGTACGTACTCACTAGCCAATGAGGGTCGAGATGGTCCAAATGGTTAGAGCGCGAATTTACTGACCAAAAGGTCCGTGGTTCGAACCCTACCTCGGCCTCCCGACTTCCCTGTCTAGACTTGGCAACCTCGCGGTGTCCCAGCCGTCTTGCAACCTTCAGGTGGCGTGGCAGCTGGGCACCGAAGGGGTGCTACAGCTGGACGATTTTTTCACTGACCAACGAGGCTTATGTAGTTTTGTTCACCCAGTGGTTAACGCGCGGACTCACATGTCGGAAGGCCCGTGGTTCGAACCCAACCTCTGCATCTCTACTGCTACCGTGTTAGCTTAAGCAGCCTAGCATTGTGTCAGCCCTCGTGCTTCCTTCGGCGACCAACCCAACAACGCAAGGTGAAGGCAAACGGATCACAGTTCCATACATCAGGAATATTTCGGAAATGACCGCACGCTTACTCCGACAGTACAACACAACCGTGTCCCACAAACCTGCAAACATCTTACGGAGAACGCTATCAAACCTAAGAAGATGATTGCACGCAATGTTTAGGACCAACGTCATGTACAAGATTCAGTGTGAAGATTGTGACAAACACTAAGTGGGACAAACAGATAGGAAGCTCTCTACCGGAACACATGAACACAAGCTTGCAACTTTCACTCGTCTCCTTGGACAAAGATCAAGATGGATATCATAATAATCGTTCAGCTGTAGTACCTTTTCGGTGCCCAGCTACCATGCCACCCGAAGGAAGCACGAGGGCTGGGATGCTACCAGGTTGCCCAAGCCTAGACTGGGGATATCGAGAGGCAGAGGTCGGGTTTGAACCACGGACCATCCGTTCAGTAAATTCGAGCACTAACCACTGAGCCATCTCGCCCCCTCAAGATGGATGCAAATTCAACTGGAGCATCCTTCACATATTGTCCTAAGTGAGAACAAAGAAAAAGCGTAAATTCATGGAAGCATGGTACTCCACTGAAAACTCCATAAAAAACATCGAAATTGACCCAGTCCATTGATCACTGCAAGCAAAAGAACTACGGAAAGAAAAGAAATAAAGCGTTCAGCTGTAGCACCCTTCCGGTGCCTAGCTGCCATGCCACCCGAAGGAAGCACGAGGGCTGGGATACTGCCAGGTTGCCCAAGCCTAGACAGGGGAAGTCGAGTGGCGGAGGTCGGATTCGAACCACGGACCTTCCGGTCAGTAAAATCGCGCTCTAACCACTTGGACAGAGGCGGATAAACTAAAACTAACAAACAATTAGGCTGAAGTAAGGGAACTACCAAAAATAGAAGCCTATGTCCCAACCAACCAAATTCAAGAGAGTTCCCGACGCAACACAAACCGGGAACGGACCTGAAACACCATAACAGTCACCCAACCAACCAATATAATACGAGACATATAGACTAAAACTCAGCGCAAGTCACGTCCGGGCCAATAATACTACAAGAAAGGTGTACGCCCATTAGCCAATCACATGTCAGGGTATTATATACTCTCCAAAAACTGTATAAACACATCTAGGCATGGAGAAAGTACCCACTCAACTGCGCACTGACTATGTCTCCTCAACTGGGGATGAAACTTTTCCAAACCGATTTTCAATCTCGGCGAATGGATCAACTACTAGCTGTTCAACCAACAATTTATTGTTGTTTAGGATCTATTTTTCGATGATTTGACGGCGATTTCCGGGAAAGTGGGGTTCAGTAGAATGCCAGAGGAATTTTTGTGCCCCACCAATGCAGCTTACTGTTGTCGTTACACTTCCGTGCCCGATTGAGTGATTATTTCGTAAGCTTTGTTATTAACTGCTCGACTGTTCTCTGTTGGCCAACTTTAGCCATTCTAATTTCATGTGTTTTTCAATTTTTGGGTTAATTTCCCGGTAAGCTTTGTTATTAACTGCTCGACTGTTCTCTGTTGGCCAACTTTAGCCATTCTAATTTCATGTGTTTTTCAATTTTTGGGTATAATTTCCCGCAGAATCCATTTCGTTCTTCATTAAACTGCACTACTGTCCTCTCCCCCAGTACTTTTCTCGTGAATTATGCCTGATTGCATCACTAAGCACGTCTTGATTGCTTGCATTTGTAGTCGCTATCATCTCAGGTGAATATCTTCACCTTTGTCCGTTTGTTACCCGTTTTTCGCTCTGTTTTCAGCTATCTCTTGACCCAATTTTAGGTCCCACGACCGGAGATTTCTGTGCCCGAGATACACAGGAATTCCTCCGATTCTGATATTGTCCGATATTCGTACAGCACTGAGTAGTTGCTTCAGTGGTCTCCTCACTACTGATACGATTAATCGTTCTTCTTGTGTCAAGTGGAGTCAAAAGCTACGCATAGATTGATGTTTAGCCCCAGGACGTTGCCAAATACCTTGTCATGAGAATTTTGGAATGTCACCAAATCTCTAACGAACCCTATCCCATTCCAATCCTCCCCGCTCTATTTCAGTTTCTTCCAGGATGCTTGTGATACCAAGCATTTTGCTTGGTCTAGTCCCAGTGGGAGACAGGGCAAAGAGTCGTCCGTTTCGGAATCATTGGCTGTTTCTTCCGCACCTGTGACTAGTGAAACTACGGATTTGGTGAAGACCAACGGGACTGAACCATCAACTCAGCTGCCTGTTGAACCGGTTGATGAAGTGGCTTCTGAGCCGAAAACTCATTTGACAAGGTTGGTCATAAATAATCTTGTTCGTTTTGTCGGATAGTCGTTCACAGCTAAGATTACGGTTTGCCTAGTTCTGTTGAACGGAGATAGTTTTCAGGCTAACAGCTAGAGAGGACCAACAGACCTTTACTCACCAACAGCCAATCAACATAATCTATCTGTTAGGCGCCCATCCAGTCGGTCTTTGAAAGCATTCATGGCTTCAGAAGAGCTTGATAACAATCAGTAGTTTTTATTTGGGCAACGTTTCGCTTTTGATACAAAAGCTTCATCAGGCCAAGTGAACAGGTCACCGAATTGGCCAGGTTATAAGACAGACGGGGAACCAATCAGTAAGTCCTCTTCACACTAGATCAGTGTTGAGTGTCAATTAACTGCTCTTGTCGGCTAGTGTGGGTGCCAAAATCTTGAACTGATGGATTGGAGGAGTTCCAAATTAGTTACGATCGCTTTTCGTTCCTCGTTCTTTCACTCCAGGCTGCCTCACTTAATGATTCACCTCGGGTGCCACTGGTAGATTTTCCCTGATCTTTGTGGGGTTGTGTGCTCCGACAATTTAGTTTCAGGGGGGTTGACGTCCAGTGGATTTCAGATGATGACCACTCTTCCTTCTGATGACCGCACACCAACACGTGTCTGCTCGAGTGACTGATTGGTTCTCCGTCTGTCTTGTAACCTGGCCAATTTGGAGACCTGTTCACTTGGCCTGATGAAGCTTTTGTATCAAAAGCGAAACGTTGCCCAAATAAAAACTACCGATTGTTTACCAAGCTCTTCTGAAACAACGACTTCTAAATCGGTTCCAAACTTTTTTCCAATTCATGGCTTTACTTGCACGGCGGGTAATTAAGTCGTGGGAAACGTTCAGCGCCATCAACTGCGGTGGCTTGCTTGGAGGATTGCGTACCGAGACGAGTGTTGTTCTCCATACCCCCTTCAGAATGGTATAAATCGCAATGTATCGCTTAGCATGAGGGTGTGAAAGGGTTCCCGAAGAATCTATGTGTTGTTGATGCCTTCCAGGCTTGAATCCCCGCGATTGGCCTGTAGCAAATGGTGGTCAGTCGGATGTCAGTGGCCTTCGCGCGGTCACTTTCTTTCCAGATTGTTCGGTTGGGCGCTTGGAGGCATAGGCCCCTCAGTATGCTTACGATAAGCCAGCAACAATCCTTCCCTCACCCGTCAGTTTCCCTCATTTTTTCTCATATATAGATAAAAATTTTGGTTGTACGACAGAGAAGCATCAGTGCAAACACTGATTTAGCTGTCTCTGATGGTGGTAAAAAAACGTCCAGCTGTAGCACCCTTTCGGCACATAACTGCTATGCCACCCGAAGGTTACACGTGGGCTGGGATACTACCAGGGTGCCCAAGCCTAGACAGGGGAAGTTGAGAGGCAGAGGTCGGGTTCAAACCTTTCGGTCAGTAAATCCGCGCTCTAACCACTTGAGCCACCTGATGGTAATACTAATTAGGAAAGTTGTTCCAACCGCATTCAATAAGTGAATGACTTGGTTTGGAATGGGATTCAACCTGCATTCAGTCACCAAATTATCGTGCCCCTTTTTGTCAATCGGAAATGGAGATCTGATTTACTTTTCATCTTCAGGAAGTGGTAAGTAGTGATGAGGGTTTCGGCATTCCTATATCTCCAAAGTGGGATCACCTCGAGCGTAAAGGGGTTCTCTTGCTGGATTGCGTCCTATCGAAGAAATGGTTTTCGGTAGATGGTTACTAGACCGTGTCTGATCTCATTTATTCACCTCCTTATCCAGTACCCCCCTTCCAGCCGCCGTCCCGCGCTTCGTATCTCACTTTAACGTTCAAGTCAACTACTCGTAACTGGGGGGGGGGGGTGATTGGGTTAAATTTCCACTTTGTGGGGTAAACCTCACAGCACGAGCATACTATGTCGGTTCTAGATTTCCTTGGTTAGCATCAGCTTGGGTATTCGTTAGTTCCCTTACCTGGAGGGGATCCCTCCCTGTTTCGGACCTGAATTATTGTCTAAAAACAGGGAATTGATGCTGATTTCGGACATTAGTCAGTCTGATGGGATCTTTTTCAAGATGTGTGCACGTTCAGCAAGCTCTGAGGGCACCAGAAATGATGTGAGGTCATCCGTTATGATGAGAGCTGGTGCATTGAACCTCTTCGGTCGTAATCATGGACGGCGGAAGTTGGGCACAATGCTTCGTGTAACATATCTTGAAGATATTTATCTGACCTGGTGATTTCCGTCCTTCCCGTTCAATCAACTGTTTGTTACTGGAACGTGTTGCTCTGTAGCATTCCCGATTGTTTCCGCCCCAATACCTCCTGATTATGTGCGTTCACGCGCCCACAATGTTCTACGGGAGAGGAACCGTCTCGATTACAGTGGAAAGTTGCAATGTGATGGAGGTCTGCCTCCGTTTGTTTGACTAACTTTCGATTTTCCCATAGCCCGGTTCCTGTTTCAAGAAGCACCTTGTTTCTGGTAACTCGCCGCATCAGATGCCGTGCTTTGCCTGCATTATGCAGTACATTTTTTACTCGCTTTTTAGCGACTCACAGATTGATGGGACTTCTGCAACTTCCGATGATTCATCCGCCAAGACTGAAACCGAACGCGATGGTTGCACCGAGCCATCGTCGAACTCGGTTGTGGAAGCTGACCCGGAACCAGATTCTTCTTCTGCTTCGGAAGGGACTCATGTGCCACTGACTCCAGAAGAGCTTTTCGAAGCTGCAGACGGGAACTACCTGCTTCGCCTTCAAGATATTCTCATTTCCCTACATCGGAGCTACTTTCGTGAGTACGATCGTTGGCGAGCCCGAAAAGCGAGCGAAATCGACCGAGTGGCTCGACAACGTGATGGTACAGGGTAAGTATTGATTGTTTCTTTGGTGAGCTCTGTATGGCTCAGTGATTAAGGCACTAGTTGATTTGTGGTTCGTGATTCGAACCTAGCCCCTGCATCTCAACTTTTCCCGTCTAGTTTAGGCAGCTGGCAGTACAGCTCTGTATGGCTCAGTGATTAAGGCACTAGTTGATTTGTGGTTCGTGATTCGAACCTAGCCCCTGCATCTCAACTTTTCCCGTCTAGTTTAGGCAGACTGGCAGTACCTCAACCCTCGTGCTTCCTTTGGGTAGCACGGCAACTAGGTACCGGAAGGGTGCTAGAGGTGTACGAACGAGATGTTTCTTCGGTTACTGTGTGGCACCTGTAGGATGTTTCCACTCTGTCGAATTTTGATCACACGGCAGCAGTAAAATACGGCGGTCAAGAGTGCCCGGTCTTCGCCCTCCTTTCTAACTTGGCGATGGACAAAGGTTCTCAGGGCCCCGAGTCGGCGAGAATATAAGGCTTCGGTATCCCGATCAAAATCCCGTATGTGGATGGCATCGCCCCTTTCAGTTATTCCCCTCTCTCTCTTAAATCTTTTGGAAAGTAGGTTAGTGGTGGGCATTGACGAGTAGTCAAGCCAAGAACGACATTTTATTATAACCCAATACCTCCACAGCTTTAACTGCGTGCATTACGTGACCCCTTTGCGTGTGCTGTTCGGTGAGATTTCTTTTATAGGTGCTACGAATCATACGTCAAAGGTGAACACGAAAAAGTGACCTGTGTAATGTCTACAAGCCGGTGAACATAGCATTTCTTTCAATCAGGACCTGTTGGGATCGAAATCACTATGTGACAGCAAACCATTGAAATCGGCTCTGTACCGATGCTTCACTCCGTTTGTCTGGTTCTCCTGTACGTGTATGAATAGTTAATGAGCTCCAGCTAGGAAGGTGTACGCTTACTTGCTCGTCATGAATGGGTTGAGTCTCATCCAGTACGTTCTTTACCAGATATGTTTATGGAATTATGCTGGCTCAAACCCATAACCGTACATGCCAGCGATTTTTAGGACCAAGTGGACTAAGTGGTCATCACAAACTACCGAGAAAATGTTGGTTTTTGCGGCAATTTGTGGCCTCGTTTGAAGTTTCTCACTCTTACATTTTCGTTTTCCTTACAGTGATCAAGAATCCTCCTCGCCCTCCTTGTCATCTTCGCCATCTCCGCCGTTACCGTCATCTGACCATCAGCAAACCGAAACTGGTTGTGTGCCAAATCTAGCCCACATCATTGCGCAACATCGGGCTAACGTCCTTGGTCCGGACTGTCACATTACCTTGTCTGGACTGGCGCCTTCCCATCTACCGGAGCGCTGTTTTGCTGCACGCATTGCTCGTAACCTCGGTGCCGTACTCCATGGAGGTCTGCGACTTCCACCCTCTCAATCAGCACCGGTTTTAGAGGAATCCGCTCGGGTTACACAATCCACACACAAAGAACCCTCTACTTCGCCCGTGGAAGCTCTTGAACACGAGTATGTCACTGTATCAGAAGCGTTGGAGACGTCCACTACTCTGACCATCATTTATTCTTCATTTGTTCACAGTGCTATGCCTCCGTCGCAATTTCTTCTACTGTATTGCGGTCATTGCTGGCAGTGATTTCTGAGTACCCGCCACATCAAGTACTCACTTAGACTTTGCATTGCAGGTATAGAACATATGAATGGGTATCAGTCGCACAATTCCTCGTTCCCTCGGAGTATGAGAGCTGCCGGGAAGCCGGCAGTCTCCAATCCGTCTGGGTTTCAAAGCATAAATCGTGGACAGTGACCAGGTTGTTCATTGATGTTTGCTTACTCCTCAGAAGGAGAGACCGCTTCTGGTACAGTTTGACTAGCAGTGTTTTCCAGCTGGACTTGCATGCAGAACTAAAGGCAGCTGCTCAGTGGTTAGGGCGCCAACTCACTGACCGGAAGGTCCGTGGTTTGAACCGAACCCCAGTATCTCAACTGCTCCTATCTGTGCTTGGTCAGCTGAACAGAATTTAACTTCTCCTAATTTCTTCGGATGATATGTGAGCTAGGCACAGAAAGGATGCTACAGCTGAACGATAGAAGGCCTCAACACCTTTCTAGTCGATGTTTCCACAGGAAATGGGTAATACGTTCACACTACAGTCGCAGAATATGTGCTTTGCCCCCTTTCTGAACACAACTGCGAACGAACCGAGCGAATCGAACTGAATTAGAGGGGTGTTCATCTTATGGAGGACCGATTGCCTTAAAATTGTGAGTATACTGCATAGTTATGCAGTCATACTAAGAACGGAGCCGTTACCAGAAAGACTGTGGGTCCGATAGCGCAGTAGCGTCCTAGCCTCCGATTTTAATGAACAAACTGAAATGACGCTGGTGCTGTAAGTATCAGTGGTCGGCAAAGGTAGTTTTGGCTCTTTCCGTACAGTTTCTTGCGCAAAGGTAGTTTTGGCTCTTTCCGTACAGGAATTTCCGTACCAGGAATTCGGGACCAATTTCGCTCCGATATGCCTGTTTCGCAGAAAAGTGCTCTGTAGTGGTGTGTCACTATGTGTCCAGTTTGATGCAGACATTGCCCCGTAGGCCGCAGCCTCTCGTTTAGCTGTAACTTTCGGTGCCTAGCTGCCATGCCACCCGAGGGGAATCACGAGGGTCGAGATACTGCCAGGTTGCCCAAGTCTAGACAAGAGAAGTCGAGAGGCAGAGGTCGGGTTCGAACCACGGACCATCCGGTCAGTAAATTCCCGCTCTAACCACTGAGCCATCTCGCTCGCCCCTCTCGGTGTTGTCAGTCGTACCCATTTCCATGAGACCATCGAGCAACATTGTCTAATGCCTAGCACAAGCACATATCATTGTTAATGAAAGTTTTTCTGTAAGTTTTTCTGTTTTCTTTATCATGACTACATTTTATCCCGATTCTTTTGTCCAACAATAGGAACGTCGTCCACCCGCCCGGGCCGCGGAATGTCTACACCACACATCTGATTGCATGCCGTCGTGGTACAGAAAAGCACAATGCAGCCACAGAGTTTCTGCACACGTGGCCTTGCGATGTGTCCCCGCCGCCTTTGCACATCGTATCACCCCACTGGCTCTGGGCGTGTCATTTCCACTGGACGCGTTTTCCCGAATCTGATTTCCCGCTAGTTCACGACTATCACCCAAGCGAATTCGATCCGGAGCTTGAACCGGCTCCCGGCACTTTCCGTTATGCTCGTCGCCATCGGCGACATCATGCGGAACACGGACCGCCCCCGGTGTTGCCACGCTTGACAGAACAGCAAGATCTTTTCCGATATCATGTCCCTCATCGTTCGTCAAAACATCACCACCGGCATTCCCATCATCACCATCACCATCGTAAACATTCGCGGCATCCATCAAAACAGAACCCGACAGAATCTTCTCTGTCACAAAAGTATGTTCTTAACCTATTTCCCCCTATATCGGTGTGCCATAGCAGGTTGTCTACACACGCTCTCACGTTCATCATATCCACATTTTTCCCGCTTCGTTACCTGCTTCTCATCATACTGTAGAAAAAAAATTGTTCAGCTGTAGCACCCTTTCGGTGCCTAACTGTCATGCCACCTGGGGGAATCACGAGGGTCGAGATACTGCCAGGTTGCCCAAGTCTAGACAAGAGAAGTCGAGAGGCAGAGGTCGGGTTCGAACCACGGACCATCCGGTCAGTAAATTCCCGCTCTAACCACTGAGCCATCTCGCTCGCCCCTCTCGGTGTTGTCAGTCGTACCCATTTCCATGAGACCATCGAGCAACATTGTCTAATGCCTAGCACAAGCACATATCATTGTTAATGAAAGTCTGACCATCCTCATGCCTTAAGTAAGTTTTTCTGTTTTCTTTATCATGACTACATTTTATCCCGATTCTTTTGTCCAACAATAGGAACGTCGTCCACCCGCCCGGGCCGCGGAATGTCTACACCACACATCTGATTGCATGCCGTCGTGGTACAGAAAAGCACAATGCAGCCACAGAGTTTCTGCACACGTGGCCTTGCGATGTGTCCCCGCCGCCTTTGCACATCGTATCACCCCACTGGCTCTGGGCGTGTCATTTCCACTGGACGCGTTTTCCCGAATCTGATTTCCCGCTAGTTCACGACTATCACCCAAGCGAATTCGATCCGGAGCTTGAACCGGCTCCCGGCACTTTCCGTTATGCTCGTCGCCATCGGCGACATCATGCGGAACACGGACCGCCCCCGGTGTTGCCACGCTTGACAGAACAGCAAGATCTTTTCCGATATCATGTCCCTCATCGTTCGTCAAAACATCACCACCGGCATTCCCATCATCACCATCACCATCGTAAACATTCGCGGCATCCATCAAAACAGAACCCGACAGAATCTTCTCTGTCACAAAAGTATGTTCTTAACCTATTTCCCCCTATATCGGTGTGCCATAGCAGGTTGTCTACACACGCTCTCACGTTCATCATATCCACATTTTTCCCGCTTCGTTACCTGCTTCTCATCATACTGTAGAAAAAAATTGTTCAGCTGTAGCACCCTTTCGGTGCCTAACTGCCATGCCACCCGAAGGTTGCACGGGGGCTTGGATACTGCCAGGTTGCCTAAGTTTAAACAGGGAAAGTTGAGAGGTAAAGGTTGGGTTCGAACCACGGACCTTTCGGTCAGTAAATTCGCGCCCCAAAAACTTGGGTCATCTCGTCATACTGTACCACACGATGTAGGTTTTTAAGGGTACTAGGGTCTGCTCATTGGGCGCATTTGTGTGAACAACTTCCTTCTGGTCGTTTTCAAACCTTTGCAGTAAGTTCTCTTCTAACCTCGTATTCTCAGCATCAACACACATTATTGTTCCACTGCTATCAATGGTGATGATGATGAGAACGGGGTTAGAGCGCGAATTTACTGACCGGAAGGTCCATGGTTCGAACCCGACCCCTACCTCTCGACTTCTGTCTAGGCTTGGGCAACCTGGCAGTATCCCAGCCCTCGTGCAACCTTGCTGTGGCATGGCAGCGAGGCACCGAAACGGTGCTACAGCCGAACGATGATGAAAACAGTCGGTTTCATTCCCATGCACAATGAAACCCTACATGGTTGCTTGTGTCACCCTTAAAAGTAACTGTTCAGCTGGGCACCCTTTCGGCGCCTAGCTGTCATGTCACTCGAAGGAAGCATGAGGGCTGGGATACTGCCAGGTTGCTCAAGCGTAGACAGTGGTCCTTTTGTTATGTTTAACTCCGGTATTGTTTGTCATCATCTCTTAGCTTGGATCGAATCGGCTTGAAAAAAATGACTGTATTTATTGATTAGGCTCACTATCGACACGTTGATTTTTCCTCTTTTCCAATCGGTCCTTTGAGTCATCTCACCCTCTCTATCATCTGTTGGTTTCTTCTGTTTCACTCAGTTTACTTCAAGCTAAGGGTAACCGGTCGGATATAGACTGACCTTCACAAGAAGTGCTCTCCACTACTGGTATAGTTTAGAACGGTCAAGCATCATACTAGTGTAACGGTAATACTACTGATGGAAGTGGCATGCGAGTAGTATGTTTCTCGTAAGTCCGCTTCGCGTCTCTTGAAAAGGGAGATCTATTGCGGATTTGTGGAGTTGCTTTGTAGCATCTGCTTGGATTTGAGTAACAGTCGATGAATATCCAGGAAAGTTCAGGAAGACGCATTCAAAAGAACATGGGTGTTCACTTTTTATAATTAAGATGCATGTGAGAGTTTTGCTTTCCTGTCCAGTAGTGTGTAACTGGTCAGCTGGCATTTTCTAATAAATAACTCCGCAGCGGAGCTGAACTCGGTGAGATAAAGTTGTTGATGAAAATTCCAATCGTGTTAGCACGACAGCAACGATCTGAAAGTGTTAGGCGGATCCCGCTCGCAGTCAGGTGCTGCTGCGGCCGGCAGGCCTCCCTCACGCAACATTGGCTGAAAATTCGGGACGCTTGCGGTGTGGACATCAAGCGGAGATCTGATTGGTCGGAACCCTGGACCCAGCGGCCACTCATAACCCAGTATTGGCCAGTTGCCAGTGGTGAGCCTAGAACGCTTCGGAATTTCAGAAAGTAGTTGCCGCTTACGCTATATAAATGAGGCGCTGTACAAGTGTATTTGACTTCGCTTTGGACGTTAATAAACCTTGTGCACCTTTGGTGGTTGTTTTGACATGAGGTTCGGACCGAGAACTAAACTGAAGAAAATACCGTCATTACAGAAAGTTAGCTAACGAAAAGACGTAACTGGTGTTTACGGAAGCTATCCTTGAAATCACCTGGCCTAGCGGTTAGCTCGTCATCATCATCCGCTTTAAAAATCACCTACCACAGTTTCGTTCGCAGTTGATTTGGAAGTTGAAGTAGACGGCTACATATTGGATTTCATTGCTGATACCATTGATGTGGAAATACAGCGGTGTCAGCGGACTTGTACACTAGGGATGTCGGGATGGGTAACAACAACTTGGACGCATGAGCGCCATTCAGGGCACGACTGGTGTCCTCGTCCAGGTAGATGGCAATGAGCTGCGCTGGTAAGGGCCGTTTTTACACTTCGTTAGGCCGTTTCTACACTTCGCTTGGTGATGCAAGGATGCCTTCAGCTGGCATTCGGAGCCGGCGTAACCCATGTATTGGGCTCACTTCGTCTGTTGGAAGCGAGTTCGTTTGGTCGGAAACCATTCGACGCACTTCGGCATCACTGACTGATCCAGTGTTACCGGTGTTATCCGAAGACATCGATATTCAAGCATTGAGGTTGGTTTCTGTTCAGGCAATATACCTGATCAGCGTACTTCGCTGGGGTTTTAAAAAGCCTTCGTTACATTTTTTTCAAGATATTTCTTTGTTCCGTGTGAATTTCCCCCATTTTCATCCCACTCCCATGTAGGACGAGAATTTGATGGAAACAGCAAGTTTCTTTTGGGAGCTGGAACTACGGACAAGCAACATCTCCAGCCCGGCTGCGCATCGCGTTCGGAGAGTTGGAAAAGAAACAGCGCATAGCGCAGCTAAAATTTACCGGTTTTTGAGGCCCCCCAGACTTACCTCTGTGCATTCGGAGCACCAATGAATTATAGTGTACGGGTGGCTACATCCAGGGGCATCTTCAGAGATACCGTTAACGCATGTTAACTCAATCCCAGCTGTGAATCTGTCTGATGGCGTTGAGAGCACTTCTTCAGCCCTACAGACCATATGCAGCTGTATCACGGAATCACCCTCATCTGGGGGAATGATTTCTTCTTGGGAGGTACTTTGTATTTGGGTCAGATTATGTGTCGCCAAAAGAATCTGAGTTTCGAATTCCTAATGTGTCTTGAGTTTGAACTTTCATCGAATGCTGAAGGTTCAGACGGATAGAGAGGGAGTTGCGTATTTGATATACTCCTTGGAGAAAGGTTTAAACAAACGTTGTTGTACTTGCCAAGTTAACGAGTACATCTCTTGACATGCCAGGGTTCGGACAGAGGCGGTAGTCCAGGGAAAACAACCAGATCCACTGTGGAAAGACACACGAAGTGACAAGGTTTTGTGGTGCCTCCAGCATTCTGTGTCTGGTCTGCGAACTTTGGTCAAAATGAAATCTGAGGTAACTTGAAACGGTTGGTCCCAAGTGATTCGCGATGGAGACTCTTGAATCGCACACCTCATCGACAATGAGGGAAGGAAGGCCGCTGAACGAGTTGTTTTATACCCTTTCTTGGACGTGGAGGAATCGTACATCATTGCAATTTATGACGCTGGTTGATTTCTCTTGGGGACCATCTCGCTGAGTACACATTAGGGTTAGCCTTTAACTTCCCCTGCATCTCCTCACTTGTCACACGGACAGCTGAGTTCTACATCTTCGGCTTATGTCAACTGTATGAAAAAAAACAAGGTTATGTGCCGTGAGGTTTGTGGAACTTTGGTCACCTAGACTCGTCAACTTGGTCTGGTCTGTGAAGTGGTCCGTAAGAGACCAGACCAGACCTACCTCCCTTCGTCCAACAGTTGGGTTTTCTTCGAATGAGCGGTATTTTCTTCGGTCTACATGACCTTTAGGCCACTTGACACTATCCAGTTAGACGAAGCTTGCATTTCACTCTTCCCGAGTTTTCTTCTGATCTAACAACCAACCTTAGTTGTTTATTTCATTGTTTATCCATTTTCTGATCTGAGGACAAGATCCAAGAAAAAACCGGTTTTCGTTACATTGTGTTCTTTTTGAAACTTCTATTTTGGACGGAGACCCCTTTTTCTTCGCCATCCACTTATTTGTTCTGACACTTGAGGGGTAACGCTTCGATGTGCTTCATGTTTCAGATCTGATTCAACTCTCACCACTCCGCGTCTGGATGTCAGCATGGTTCAATCAGCGCTGGAATCGATTCGAGCCGAACGGAGGCTAGACAAACAACGCAAGCACGAACAGCATCGGCGTCGACGGTATAGCGGTAGCTCCGCGCACGTGGCACCTCCGAAACGACATCGTACGTATTCCTCACAGGATCATACATATTCACAGTCACTCGATCCCGCTGACAGAGACCAGATCACACCTTCTAGTGAAAAGGGATCAAGTGAGTTGGGAATTTCGTTTTGATAGGTCTGTTTGGGGAAGGGGTTCTGTCTATTCCAACTTATTCTCTGTTGATTCGATAATTTCCGAGTACAAGAAACCGAATTTGTTGTTCCCGGAAATGCTCTGTCCATCACTACAAAGGATGAGACTGTGTAGATTGTTGACTTAGCTTTCTGCTTGTTGGCTTCTTTGATTCAGATACGTTAAAATGCATTCGGCTGCTCCTGGTTGCCTCCCTTTCCAGTCGAGATGGCCCAAGTGGTTAGAGCGCGAATTTATTGACCGGAACGTTCGTGGTTCGAATCCGACCTCCGCCTCTCGACTTCCCCTGTGCTGCAGGCACCTCAATCCGGAGAAATATCCAGCATCATCGACTACGATGGCTCGGTCATGTGCTACGCATGCCGAAACACCGTCTACCGAGACGAGTGTTGTTCCCCGTGCCTCCTTCATGATGGCGCAAACCGCGAAGTGGACAGCGCATGACTTGGCAGAAAGGCGTCAGAAATCACGAATAATTTAGGTTTTGTTGTTGTTCTTCCAGGATGGGGTCCCCGTGACCCCGTCTGGGCTGGAGACGTTGCTAGAAATGGCGGCTAATCGATGTCAGTGGCGTTCTTGCTGTCAGTTTCTTTCCGGATTATCTGATTACGCGTTTGGATGTGTAGACACCTCAGTGTGCTTGACATAGGCTAGTACTGAATCCCCTCCCCCCCCCACTCTTTTTCTCTTCCCTTCACTGTACTGCGAGAGAAGTACATGGAACCGGTTTCGGTAAACTTCTTTGGTCTTTGCTTCTTCCAGACACGCCATATTGAGCTTGTGGGTAGCTTTTTTTGCATATGTCGCAACTAAATCACAGGATGAACGCTGTCCGAATCTTGGTAACGCGATAATCGACTCGAGTTCCAATTTGGCTGTGCTTTGGAGGAGGCTAGATGGTGCTCTGTGTCCGTTTGTCTACTTGCCATAAATAGATGGTGATCAGCATACAGCTGTATGAGGCGACCGCCACTATCAATGCTGGAAGGATGCACAACGAATCTGTCACCAAGATAGACTTTATGTTACTCAAACCTGGGCGTTCATGTCAACAGCAGTCGCTGAACACTCCACTTACAATCCAGGGGTAGACAGTCGAAGTTGTGTAGCGCTTCACGTACCTTGGAAGTTGCATTAGTCCTGACTATACTGTGACACATGAGGTCAATGCCCAAATCTCCAAGTTTCGGGTCGCGTTTGCTAATTCCAGATACATATGGTTCAGTTGTTAGGACGCAATTGTACTGAACGGAAACATCTATGGTTCGAACCCGACCTCTGAATCTCGACTTCCCCTGTCTAGGCTTGGGCAACCTGTCAGTAGCCCAGCCCTCGCGCTTCCTTCTGGTGGAATGGCAGTAAGGCACCGGAAGGGTGCCCGAGCTCAACGATTGCGTCAAAGTGGCGTATCCCCGAATCCTAAGGGACGTATGCATCAAGCTACAGTGCGGGCTATTTTGTTGTATGGCTGTGAGACTCGGCCTGTTCGAGCAGCGGAACCGAGACGTCATCAGGTGTTCAACAATCGTTGTCTCAAAATCACAGCTCGTGTGGGTTGGTGTCGGCGAATCCGTAACGAGGCAGTTAAAAAGCGCGTTTTCGGCTGTGTAACGGGTACTTCCATTGAAGAATGTGTCCAGCACCAGAAGCTGCGTTGGCTGGGACATGTGTTACGTATGTCGAACCATCGTTTGCCAAAGAGAGTGCTGCTTTCCATGCCCAATTCAGAGTGGTGTGAACAGATAGGTGGCCAACTCTTGACTTGGCAGCGGAGTATGAAGGAGATCACGAAACGGTTGGATGCTGTCGGTGCTACTCGCCTTCCATGATGAGGACCGCGTGATCCTCACTGTGCCTGGTTGGAGACCAACCGATGTCAGTGGCGTTCTTGTTGTTAGTTTCTATGCAGGTCACGTGAGTGAATGTCTGGAGGTGTAGGCACCTCGGAATGATTGTGGTAAGCTAGCACTAAGACCCTTCCCCGTCCACCTTTACTCTTTTCTTTACAATAAGGCTTTCAAATAAATCATGGTTGTACGGCAGCGAAACATCAATGTTGAGTACCAATATCTTACTGTCGATGATGATGTCAATAGGCAAGATCGTCACATAGTCATGTATTCATCGTCCAGAGGACCATGTAAGCTTGGTTATACTTTCGTGTCGACAGTTCTGTGAATCCTAATGAATCAATACGGGAGAAGGACAGAGAAGGCTAGCAGCCGATTGGTTGGAACACGCCAGAAGTCTCACCAGGCCATTTGCACAGCAGTTCAGTTAGTTTGATGGCACACATTGTGAAGCTAATCGTCCGAAAGAGTCGACACAGGTTCCTGATTGAAGTCAAGGCGGTCAGGTTTTTCCGTCAACAGACAGAAAAGTATTGTTCTGTCTACCAATCCATTTTCATCTACTGACCAATGGTTGAACTATCTGTATGCGTTCTTTTGCTTACACTGTTGACCACACATGGAATGGTGGAGTCTCTAACGGCATTGCTAGAAGCTCACAACTGGCGGCTTTCAACAGATGTGAAACGACTCCTATTTTGCTTGCTTCAGACGACTCCGTTTCCTATCATGTACCTAGACATTAGTCGACAAAGACCGGGTCACCTGTGATAAGCAACCGGATTCTCTTCATATCTCCTCAGCAATCTTTGTAGTGTGCTACTCATTAGGTTGCTGAAAATCCGTCGACAGCCCATGACCGGTTTCGCCCTTTTTGAAGCTCATCAGGTAGGCGCAGTCCCCGAGTTTCCGTCAACCTTATGTTCTACTTGAAACCTAATTGCACGAAATTAGTGAATATACACTCATTTGCAAACTAATCTGTTTTTTTTTTCGAGAGACTTACCTGGAACCCAGCTGAATCTCTCGTTTGTGATGTTTCCAGGAGCTTCTGCTGGGTTCCCAGTGAGTCTCTCGAAAAACCAAATTAGTTTTCAAATGAGTGTATATTCGCTACTCTCCTCAGTAATTGTTTTTCCTTTTTTATCTGTCATATCTACGGCGGTTTTCATTGGTCCACTGGGAATAGTGCATCTATTTGTCCGTCCCCACTAAATGGGACAGACACTAAAGGAATGCAGAAGCTCGTCTAACTAGACTATCATTACGAAATATTGATCTTTCAGTAACCGTTCAGTCTCCTATGACATCGGCTCCAAACGCGGTTGCCTATGCAGAGAGATCAGTTGGCTTCTTTCGTCCCGAACAGAAAGCTGTCTGTCGGTCATGTTGCTGTTCTTTATTCCACGACGGGATTACCGTTTTTGCATTCGGGCCGAGATGGCTCACTGCATGAATCTACTGACCGGGAGCGCCGTGATTCGAGGGTGACTCTTTGTCTGGGCTTGGGTAACCTGGCAGTATCTCCGCCCTCGGGATTCATTTGGGTGGCAAGGCACTTGAAGACCCATTTTTGCATGCTTTTCACGATAATCTCGAGCGTTCTCCCAAATGTCTAGGGATTTAATAGGAGTTTGTATAATGGTGTTAACGTATTGTTCTCGATAGAGTCAGATTTTTTTACCCCGTATTTCTTTCCAACAGAGGTGGACAAAGAATCGGAGTCCTCGTCTCCTTCATTGTCTTCCTCCGAGGACGAACGGAAACAACCTCAGGCACGAGATGCATCACGACCGGTTGCTGTTGATATTTCGAGTCAAAACTCTGCGGTCGCCATTGCACCAAGTTCCAAAGGACATACTTTTCCCGTTGATCTCACAGAGATCGCTCAAACGGAAGAGCCACCTGATGCTTCTGGCACATTGGTCGAGATTAGAGATGCAGACGAAGGGACGGAAGATGAGACGTTGGACTATGTGCTTCCCGGGGACACTGTGGAGGAGGAAGAGGGAACGACGGAGAGCGAGACAGCCGTCGAGTCCCACCTGAGTGCTTTCTTACCTCCACCCAAGGCCCTGATTCTCGCGGACAACCCGTTGCTTCACCTTCCACCCCAAGTAAGTAGTATATTGTCCGTTTATGGTTGTTTGTCGGGCGTGATGTGATTGACTTGCGTAAGCTGAATCAACCTATTATATCTCATGCGGTTTGTTTATGATGGCATAACGATATCAAGTGAGCAGGTGAAGCTGAGTATCCGTGCAGACCGAGAAGCTTGGTGGACCTGAAAGACCGAAGAAATGAAAGGTGCAAAGATTTCTGGGAACGTCCGCGAGCTGTTCCACTTAATTCGTTCGACTGGTCCTCAGCGAGATAATCAGGGACCAAAATGTCTCCCTGATATGCAGCAAAGCAGAACGTTTGGACGCTGAGCACACGAATTCCAGCAGCAATTCAGCTGGCCACCTGATACCTCCAGTCCAGAATCCTGGCCGTTAACAGGCAGGTGGACCGTATTTTAGTCAACGCGTGACTTGGCTGAAGGGCGTGAAGGAGATCACGAAGAGTTGGGCTGTCCCTGTCACCCGACCTGTGCTTGGCTGGAGACGTTGTAGGAACTGGTGGTTAATCGATGTCAGTGGCGTTCCTGATTGTCTGATCGAACGCTTGGTGGTGTAGGCACCTCAGAATGCTTGACAGGCCAGCACTAGATCCCCTTTCTCATCCACTCTCTTCTGCTCACTCTAGGGCCTTAAATATAGTTAGACGAACCTCATGGTTGTACGGCAGTGAAGCATCAGTATCAACACTGTTTGATACTTGGATAAAGGACTCGTTGGTCAAGGGAATAGAGACAGTGCTGTTGTCGATCGTCACCTGAGATTTGGCTTATCGGCAGACGGACTACCACCACTGCCAATATAATATGCCACTGTTGGTGTGTTTCTTGGTACTCGATGTCAGTTTCTCAGCAAGTCTAATGCGTTCGGCTGCTCAAATGTCACTTCACCAAAGGACTTGTAATGATTTGGCCATTACAAAATTGTTACGCGGAATTCCACACGGATTCCGCTTTTCCAATCCGACTCAGGTGCTGCTACGGCCGAGAAGTCCATCCCACTCAAGATTGACCGAGAATTCGGGACGCTCGCCGGTCCGGCATTAAGCCGAGATCTGATTGGTCGAAAGTCTGGACCCAACAGCCAATCATGACCCAGTATTGTTCGAAGCCGGTTGCCAATGGTGCATTCAGAACGCGTCAAAATTTCCAGAACGTTATTGCCGCCTACGCTATATGTATGAAGCGCTGTACAAGTGTTCTTGACTCCGTTTTGGGGCATTAATATACCTTGTTCACCTTTGGTGGTTGTTTTTACGTGAACACAAGCTTGGGAGGCTCAGACCGAGAACTAACTGAGAAAAATACCGTTACTACAAAAATGCATCGCCTGTATATCCGCATTTCGTTTTATTGCATCTACAGGCGACCAGTCAAATGCTAGCCGAGATCGAAGATGCGGTAATGGAAGAAGATACCGAAAAGGCCGCCTCGGTACCGGTTGAAGCAGAGTTGTTTGACCCGGCGAAACTGGGTGTGTGCAACACAGATTCCTCGCTGTCGTCATCAGAAAACGAAGTCCGGGAAGAGGGTGCAGAACAAGTCGAAGATATGATGCAACTCGACGAGGATCGAATATCAACACAACGGACTCGTGTCAGGCTTTCTCGTTCTCCGATACCGAGACGAGTGGATCCCGTGGAGTTGGACCAGCGTGCGCTTCAATGTCAGGTTAGTTTCACCGTTACATCCTGTCTCTGTGCTCTATTTCTGGTGTGATTATCTGGATTCGTCTTCCGTTAATCTCTGTGTGCGTCGACCCGGACTCTAATTGTCAACTCGCGATTTCGGTATTCGCGGTAAATTATTGTCGGCTGGTTCTCGCTGACCCTTAAAAGCTCACAAGGAAGCTTGGTGGTAACCCATTCCCCTACTTTCCGAAGAACATTCACCCTCGCCCAAGTGGTTAGAGGGCGAATTCATTGGCCGGAAGGTCCTTGGTTCGAACCCGACCTATGCCTCTGGACTTCCCCTGTCTAGATTCGGGCAACCTGACAGTATCCCAGCCCTCGTGCACCCTTCGGGTGGCATGGCAGTTAGGCGCCAAAAGGGTGCCACAGCTGTGCTATTTTTAGCCCTCAAAACCTTTTCTTGGGGGTTTCCCCACTTGAAGGCACGAGTTTTGAGCCATACAATTATTGTCTTTCTTTGCATAACTCAAGCAGACATCAAGTTGTATGCTGTAAGTGGCTCTCCATTGAAAGGTCCCCAATTTCACGGAGGCGTTTATCGGCGCTATTCGATCTCAGTCACATTCGAGCCATTGAGCAGTTGGAATGTAAGTACTGACACAGACAACACGGCAGTTGCTAACACCGGATGCGACAGTAGGAACCACATATCTGGTCCTAAATCATGTCAGTGCGGATACAGCAGAAATATGAACATACCCTTCAAAGGGCGAAGGCCTTCGCTACGGAGTTATTTATTAGAAAATGCCAACTGGACAGTTACAAACTATTGGACAGGGAAGCAAAACTATCATGTGCATCTTGTCTACAAAAACTCAATATCCATCTCCTTGAACACGTCTTCCAAAACTTTCCTGGATATTCATTGACTGTTGCTCAAATCCAAACAAATGCTACAAAATGACTCCACAAATTCCGTAATAGATCTCACTTTTCAAGAGATATAAAATGGATTTACGAGAAAACATACTACTCGCATGCCTCCATTAGTGGTATCGCCGGTACGCCGTCACCAGTTGTAAAATGTAGCACCTTCAGAGGGTCGTATAACAGTTAACATTGCGGCCTTCAGAATAACCATAGCGTAACACAGAGGATGAGGTTGGAGATGTTCCGTCAGACAATTAGACAGAAGGAGTCAGTGTCATAGGACAGTCGGCAGTGGTACACCGCGGCCCGAAACACCACATGTGCAAATGTGCGCACCTATCGTCACATCTCAAGGCATGGTCATGGTTTACTGAGCTGGGCAATTTGATTGCTGAGATTCATGACCGATCTAGGCGACATCATCAGTGCGAGATGGCCCAAGTGGTTAGAGCGCGAATTTACTAACCGCAAAGTCGGTCGTTCGAACCAGACTTCTGCCTCTCGACTTCCCCTGTCTAAGCTTGGGCAACCTGGCAGCATCCCAGCCCTTGTCCCTCCTTCTGGTGGCACGGCAACTGGGCACCGAGAGGGTCATACACTTGAGCGATTATTAGTGCTGCGAACCCTCTACGCTATCTGAGCTATCAACACTCTTCTAGATGGCATATCAAGTTATGTTCGAACTGCGCCACATTCGGACGCAGTCACAAGTCAACCAAGAATCACATGCGAGTGGCTATGCGGCTCTTGACCATAATAATTACGGGCTGAAATTCCGTCCTAATCCCAGACCATGCCAACTTTCGTTCAGTTAAGACAATGACGGACGTGGAAGACAGACATTCACAAACAAGACCGGCAACGGCGACTGTGAGACGCCGAAAAACTTTATAAAATTAACTACTTGACAGCATCTTGACTTCTGCAAGCAACCAATCAATCTGTGTCCCGATGTGCATACGGAGTCGTACGATTTAAGTCTCTTTATAGAAGCAAATCCGAATTGTGTACTTATCACGAAATTTGCGGTTCTTGCTTCTCGCGTGCATCTTAGCCCGCCTTTATGCCGATTTAAGTACGTGTAAGTATCGCTCAAACGCGCGCGAATTCCGGACCAACTGTCAGTGAGTTCACAAACGATATTTTCTCTAGATATCAACCCTTTACTTACCAGTGTTTTTACGCCTCAAACTGTACACCATTTGTGCAGTTTTATTACCGTGCACGAAATTCCAGCATGTATCCCCTGAGTATCTATAAGAAAGTTGATCCTCTGACGTACTGAAAACATCCGCTTTGAATTGGAAGACCAAGCGTACGAACAAATCGAAGGCAGACCGCTTGGAACCGTTACAATCAGATGTCTTTTCTTTTCCTGGATATTCATTGACTGTTGCTCAAATCCAAACAAATGCTACAAAATGACTCCACAAATTCCGTAATAGATCTCACTTTTCAAGAGATATAAAATGGATTTACGAGAAAACATACTACTCGCATGCCTCCATTAGTGGTATCGCCGGTACGCCGTCACCAGTTGTAAAATGTAGCACCTTCAGAGGGTCGTATAACAGTTAACATTGCGGCCTTCAGAATAACCATAGCGTAACACAGAGGATGAGGTTGGAGATGTTCCGTCAGACAATTAGACAGAAGGAGTCAGTGTCATAGGACAGTCGGCAGTGGTACACCGCGGCCCGAAACACCACATGTGCACATGTGCGCACCTATCGTCACATCTCAAGGCATGGTCATGGTTTACTGAGCTGGGCAATTTGATTGCTGAGATTCATGACCTATCTAGGCGACGTCATCAGTGCGAGATGGCCCAAGTGGTTAGAGCGCGAATTTACTAACCGCAAAGTCGGTCGTTCGAACCAGACTTCTGCCTCTCGACTTCCCCTGTCTAAGCTTGGGCAACCTGGCAGCATCCCAGCCCTTGTCCCTGCTTCTGGTGGCACGGCAACTGGGCACCGAGAGGGTCATACACTTGAGCGATTATTAGTGCTGCGAACCCTCTACGCTATCTGAGCTATCAACACTCTTCTAGATGGCATATCAAGTTATGTTCGAACTGCGCCACATTCGGACGCAGTCACAAGTCAACCAAGAATCACATGCGAGTGGCTATGCGGCTCTTGACCATAATAATTACGGGCTGAAATTCCGTCCTAATCCCAGACCATGCCAACTTTCGTTCAGTTAAGACAATGACGGACGTGGAAGACAGACATTCACAAACAAGACCGGCAACGGCGACTGTGAGACGCCGAAAAACTTTATAAAATTAACTACTTGACAGCATCTTGACTTCTGCAAGCAACCAATCAATCTGTGTCCCGATGTGCATACGGAGTCGTACGATTTAAGTCTCTTTATAGAAGCAAATCCGAATTGTGTACGTATCACGAAATTTGCGGTTCTTGCTTCTCGCGTGCATCTTAGCCCGCCTTTATGCCGATTTAAGTACGTGTAAGTATCGCTCAAACGCGCGCGAATTCCGGACCAACTGTCAGTGAGTTCACAAACGATATTTTCTCTAGATATCAACCCTTTACTTACCAGTGTTTTTACGCCTCAAACTGTACACCATTTGTGCAGTTTTATTACCGTGCACGAAATTCCAGCATGTATCCCCTGAGTATCTATAAGAAAGTTGATCCTCTGACGTACTGAAAACATCCGCTTTGAATTGGAAGACCAAGCGTACGAACAAATCGAAGGCAGACCGCTTGGAACCGTTACAATCAGATGTCTTTTCTGCGGGCGCGATTGAAAGACCGCATTCTGACCAGATCTCCAACACTATATATATATATATATATATATATATATATATATATAATAAACGATTGGTGGACAACATTTTAGTTTTCGCTGACTGTGACCGCTTTGAGAGCCTCTGGAACCGCATGAATCATACATATCCAAGCCTTTCCATGTCTTGAGGTAGGAGTTTTTATACCTTATTTCCAGGCACCCAGATGTCGCATTCAAGCGTTGTACCTCAAGTTTTCGCTGACTGTGACCGCTTTGAGAGCCTCTGGAACCGCATGAACAGTTCATATCCAAGCCTTTCCATGTCTTGAGGTAGGAGTTTTTATACCTTATTTCCAGGCACCCAGATGTCGCATTCAAGCGTTCATTGTACCTCAAGCCCTCATGGAGGCCTTAAGAGAGCTCAGTGTTTAAGGCCTGTTTATGGACCGGAACGCTCTCGGCATTTCGACTGCTGCTGTCTAGGTTTGCGCAACCTGACAGTAGGTCAGTCCTCGTGCCTCCTGTTAGCGTGGCAGCTGCGCACCGGAAAGGTGCTACAGCTGCGCGATGGAGCTTCCATCGGCTGAGCAAGATAGGCGAGAATACTCAAGTGTTTACAGCGCGAATTTACTGACCTGAAGTTCCGTGGTTCGAACCCGACCTCTGCCTCTCGACTTTCCGTGTTTAGGCTGGGGCAACGTGGCAATATCCCAGTCCTCGTTCCTCCTTATGGTGGCATGGCAATTACGCAACGAAAGTGTGCTACAACTGAACGGTTTTTTGTAGCATTTTGTTCGACCGCGCTTGACATATTTGTGCTCCTTACTCTCCTCGTGTTTGAGTAAAACATGAAGTGGATGGAAACCGGGGAGTGTGCTCACCTGACGGGCAGATTCGGTCTTGGGCTACCGAACAGTTTTCAGCGACCTTGTGACTAGTGTGTTGCATAACTGGTGTTAGGTACTAAATGAAATATTGGCGGCACATTCGGTTGGCAAAGAACATCATAAACGATAAATTCAGTTTGGTCTCCTGTGGAAACCAAAATCACTGAGATGCATTTTTAAAAGGTACGTTGATTTCTAACGGCCAGCCAGAGAAATTTATCAACATGTGTAGCACACTACGCCGTAAACTAGAGCCTCACTACTCAGTAGAGAACAGTTTACCAGAAGCCAACTGAGACGGGCGTTTTTGAATGAATCGTCTGCCCGTTCGAGGTCACTATTCGGTAGGATTGCATCATCAGCATTTAGCTGAGTAGAGGCAAATAGAAGTTCATGTGACAGCGGCCTGAACTGAAGCAAAAAACAAACCTTGATGTGATGGATATCCAGGCAGTCATTTACGAAGGGCATTGCGAACGGTGATACTACTGATGGGGGGCATGCGAGTAGTATGTTCTCGTAAATCCGTTTTGCTTCCCTTGAAAAGTGGGATCTATTACGGAATCTGTGGAGTCGCTTTGTAGCATTTGCTTGGATTTCAGCAAGTCAATGAATATCCAGGAAAGTTCAGGAAGAGACGTTCAATGATAAGATGGATATTCAGTTTTTACTTCCCTGTCTGTAACTGTTCAATTGGCATTTTCTAATGAATAACTTCGCAGCGAAGGCCTTCTTCCTTTCATCGGTACCCAACGGAGTGGATTGCAACGGCTGTTATTCCATATAATCCACGGAAATCCGAAGTAATTCAAACGAGGGGAAATTTGCGCCCTGCACTGGTGTGATTGAGGGATCGCCTTCCAGCGTGCAGAACCAGGACTGTGCTGAAAAAAAATTAAGTGCAGTGGCTGCACTACGGTCCGTATATGACAGATGGTTAGAGAACTTCACACCAGAATCGGAGAGCTGCACAGAACCACAGGTGAATACCGAGCGTTACCGGGGGACTCAGCAATCGCGGAACATTTACTGGGACACAAAGCCAGTTGTAAAGAATGTTCGAAATTTTGAGGTGCAAACTACGGTCGACACCACAGAGATTAGAGCGCGGGGCAGTGGACATCGCCAAGCATCCCAGTGTAAATAGGGTAGAAGGCGTAGAACTGAAGAACCGTTTTAGATCTGTCAAGCTATCGGTTATCGACAGAGGTAGCCTAAATTTGGATTGCATGAACTAAGCGGACGGAAACTTCCATCCAATCTTACTCACCCATGCATTCCCCACTAAATCGTCGTAGCACTTACAAGCCCATAGAGACAAGCAAAACTTATCAGTGGCACTCAAGGCGGTGAAGCTCTTTGATACGGAAGATCAAGGAACCAAATGCGATCAAAACCAATCTGGGTTCCAGGTGAGTATCTTGCCAACCGTAAGATTTAAACAAACAAACCAGCCGGAAAGCAACTTAAACTGACATTCAACACTGGTCTAGTTTGCTGATATGAAGAATCCTTACTGCTCAGTTCTCCGTCTGCCTGAGAACCTAGCCAATTCGGTGACGATGCTTTTGTGTCGAAAGCGAAACGTAGCCTGGTTGAAAGGTACCCAGTGTTTAGCAGGCCTTTCTGAAGGGATGACTGCTCAGCGGGTTCCAAACGTTTCCCAGTTGATTGAAAAGAGAGACTGCAGTCTATGGGAAATTACTTCACGGCACAAATTACCTGATTTAATCCGTCGAACGTACTCAGTCGCTCGACTAAGCCTACTCTAACCAACGAGACAAGTCAGTCTCCGTTGCGCGCCACGTATTGTACCCAATCCCCCTGCTTCACAGGTTGCATATCAATTCAGATGCAGTTGCGATGAGTAGGGTAACGATTGACCGAGGGCCGAAAACCTTTCTCATCGGTCATCAAACATACTCTGCTGGAAACAGAGTTGACTCCAGTACGCCGCTCAGAATTTTACTGCGCATTGTCAACTGGAAGTTGTCAAGTTTTTGCTAAGGCCATCTAGATCAATCCATACCGATCGACGCACAAAACTTCCGGGACCTGATTAGCGCACCCTACGACGGGTTCTGTTCCAGGGTTTTTATTTGCCATTGTTCTCCACTGTAGGGTCAATAGTTGACCACATCTGTGCTTGCATTACTCTGAACTGGGTATGAAAACCGTCTCTCGCTTTATCAAAAAACGGAACGGATTGAGCAGTAATAGATAAAACATCACAGCCTCTGGTTCTGGTTCTGGACACATTCTTCGACTGAACTACATTTCTGCTTGTTCACAGAAACCAGTTCACAAATGATGTGGTCCTTAGAGAATGGTTTCTGAAAACCTGAAGATATCTCAGTTCCACGGCTCGAGCAGGCCGTCTCACAGCCGTACAACAGAAGCATCACTTTACACAAAGGGTATGCCGAGGGACTCTGATTGTAGTGTGACAGGTGAGGTGAATGCACGAATCTGCAAGGCTTGGGCCGCGTTTGCTAACTTGAGACACCTATTGCGTCAGAATGGTTTATCCCTGAATCTGAAGGGACGTGTGTATCAAGCTACAATACGGGCTGTTTTGTTGTATGGCTGTGAGACTTGGCCTA